AAACCTGGCATTCCTTAACAACTTTTAAGTATAAAAGTATTAAAGTTTAATTGAATAATAAAAAGTTATAATTACAAAAGTATAGGGAGGTGCGTGACTCCGGTCTCGGACTCGCCGACACAAACTAATATAAGAGATTACGACTCGGTACGAACTCACATTCTGTCCGCTCCTACTAATCCTTCTCGCCGACCTAACGACCAACAACCAAACTAGATTTTATTACATTTCGACTTACTGAACTAGTAATTAATTTTATATAGGAACGGTCACCATCCCCGAAGAAAAAGACAAACTACTCTATAATAGTTTTATTAATTAGAAATTAATGGTAGATATGATAAGAATAAGAATAAACCGCTTCAATAAATCTTCTACCTGGCAATTTTCCAGCTTTTAGCCAGGGTCTGCCTTACATTGTTATGAATAATTTTGGCTAATTGTTTTTACGACCGACCGCCTGCCTGACAGCAACCCTCTTTGGAAATACATTAATCAGTGATGTCTAAATACTCTCAGAAAGTACATATGACTCGGAAAAATTACATTGGTACTTGCCAAGGCCAGGATCGAACCCGCGCCCTCATACTTGAGAGGCGGGCCTTTTAACCACTAGACCACCACTGACTAAGCGGCTTCAATAAATGTAAATTATTATTTGTTTATAGGGTGTCATCCATTAGTACGTGTATATGTAAGGAATGTCTACGACTCTCTGACTTAAAATAAATATTTAAAAACAAACATTAATTAAGTACTTCTTTATAATACTGCTGCAACATTTAAACTGGGTTGTGTGCAGTGACTGTGACAGTGTGTAAGTTAAAATTCAGCTGAAAAGGATTGTTAATAACGTGCTTAACTTTTAACTGAACTGTAAACAGCTCGATGAACTGATTATATAAAGTTGGAGCGTTTTTGTATCATCTCTTTTGTTTTTGTGTCACATATTTTGTTGACAACAATTATTTATTACACATCATTGAACAAAATAGTCTTCATTCATTCATCATCAGCCTATCAGAGGCCACTGTTGAGCAACGCTGAGCTTCTTGTCATATGGAGAAGGTTTGAGCATTAATGACCACGCTTGCTCAAGACGGGTTGGTGATTTCAAACTTATAAGTTGAAATTATAAGTCCAGGTTTCCTCACGATGCTTTCCTTCATCGTCTCTCGGTGATGTCTGAAAAATCTTAGAAAGTACATATGACTCCGAAAAATTACATTGGTACTTGCCAGGTTTCGAACCCGCGTCCTCATGCACGAGAGGCGGGACACTGGCTTCTAGGCCACCACGTTCCTAATGTTAAAAACACTCTTAATGACTGCAATTTTTTTATCCTAATTATAAATCAGATCCCAGATCATCATACACTAGTAAACAACAATAAGTCATTCATATTATGATCCACAACTAACTATTCAATTGATTTGAATGACAACTTAATATCCAAAAAGTAAAATTATTAAAATCTAAAGCAACTCCCTCACACTCAATACTTCTAGTCTTACTGTTAGTAAGCGTCTGTTGTCGGTACAATGAGCCTAACACAAGTCACCATCATCGCTCATTATATTATAGTATTCACGTAGATTATTTAATAAGAAACGGCAGACGCATCGTGTGAAGTGTGACGATGGAAACTCGTAGTAAAGATGTTTCTTTACTACGAGTTATTAGATTATATTAGTTAATGAACAGTCTAAAGTCTCTTTCTGAAAGTACTGCTAGATATAAATTAGGCAGTACTGCTCCACAACTCGTAACAGAATCCCCCGTCTAATACTTGTATCCTATTTATAATATTCAATGATAACATTTAGGTGAAGGTAAGTCACAATATCATACAAAGGGAGCTCCCTTTGTATGGTAACTAGCTAGTTAACTATCATAAGAATTCGCAATTAATATTAGAATATAAAGGACATTAAAATTAGAATTATAAAGTATTAACGCTACATATATCATACGTGGACATATAAACTAATAATATAAAGTTATTGCAGTCTGTTTGTCAGCCTGTAAGGGTTCTGGGTTCTGGGTAGCCAGCCTTTGTCATTTTAATTACAAATTCTTTCTTCCTAGCTCCATATACCTATTGCCAGGTGTATGTTTTCGTTATGTATAACATGTAGTAGAACTAAGAGTCGCATGCTTAGTCCTCTTCGTTACTTTAAGTATTCCCTTTTAATCAATCGTTTCCAACAATCAAAGTTTTATATTTAAATATAGCTAATATATTATTCAATGTGTCGGGCTCAAGTGATTAGTTACCCGCGTGAGGAATTTAAATTATTATATGTATTTGAAGAGAGAATTTACTGTTTAAACTAATTTTAAGACTTACACTATGTACTGAGTTTAGGGTTGCCAACCGTACTCTAAAATAGAGTATTGTACTCTATATCATGTAAGCGTACTCTGTAATCTATAATACTAATAGAGTACGCTAAAATACTCTTTTTCTACACATTTTTACTAGTCAAATAATATTATGCAAAAACCCAAAATCAAAACCAAAAAGTTCGACTATTTAATGTTAATATGGTGGTAATTGGCATCCCCAAATTTCCTCCAACCACATTCAAACCACCACCACCAAGTCTTGATGAGGATTGGCCTATGATAATTCAAAATCTATTGACGTTAGATTATAAGCAAGATTTAATTGAAATTTATCTACATTTTGCCAGCCATATTATAAATATATTTCACAAAACTATTAAATAGAGACCTTCCAGAGGGAAGGTAACTCTGTCACAGTTGTAGATGTTTTTGGATTAATGAAAAGTTTAAAATCAGAATTACTGCAAAGACAGAAAGACAAGTATTTTGGCTATACAACAAAACAGAAATTAAAACTTATGGAACAATCATCACCTGATTTATTTAAACAGATAAACATGAATTTTTCTTTGTGTATAGAGTATAGACAAATGTTTAATTTATTTACAAAAATGGTTTTATTTTAGTAGTGATTACTGGCTATATTCACTAAATAAAATATCTTTAAAAAGTAATGTTGAATTTAATCACATAGAAAAAATGTAGAAGAAAACTTATTTTATAAAGACAAACTACACATAGACAGTTTATATTCAGAAGTTATAATTTTAAAAGACCTCCAAGCTGAAATATTAAATAACTCAGATTTTATGCAAAATCGACTGTAGAAAAATGGCAATTTATATTTAAAAAGAGTCCTGGAAAATTTTTTTGAAAAAAAAAATATTGACTATATACTTTCTGTTCCCGCCACTTCAGCATTTACTGGAAGAGTCTTTTCGGTCATGAATGTGAAGTGACGAGAAGAGAGAAACAGAGCTTCATTGAAATTAGTTCAAAATGAGCTCTTGAGCTACATAAATTTAGAGTTAGAATGTTTGGACTTATACAATTCTTTTAAAAACAATGAAAAATTGTTATGTGCTGCAAAAAGTACAAAAAATACCTTTTTAAAAATATGAAATAAATGATACTCTTATTTTTAAGTCCATACTCTTTATTTTTCTCCTTTGAAATCAGATATACTCTATACCTTCTAAAAAAATTTGGCAACCCTAACTGAGTTTCTTAGAAACTTACACGTAACATGTCAATGAACCCGTCAATAATATTGTTAGAATACTGTTTACTTTCTAGTTTCATTACTTTTGTTTTTGTAACAGACGTCACATCCACCGATATCTACAAACAAACTTTCGTTTTGATAAAAAGAATCTGGCGATCCAAATAAGTACGAAAATTTATTGAAAAGACTTGTACCGCCAATTTAGATAAAAAATCATGTGGTAATTCAAAGAAATAATTTTTTTTTTGTCCGACAAAGTGGCTTGTTAAAATTGCGAACTTCAAATATTAATTTGTCAACTTTGAAGAAAGTAACTTAAATTAGTTTAGTATTAACGATAAACAACGTTCACCAGAATGACCAGACTACCGGTCTGGTGATCAAAAGGAACTCTTCAAGATTCAATAACAATAAACGTCAAAGATCCAATCCTTAAACTGATTCAAAATAAAGTTGTAAATAATCTTAATAAGTTGTAAATAATATTATTGTAACTTAAAATTGTATATCATGTTTGTTCGAGACATAAGTAATTAAAAATATGGAATCAGTGTATAAATAAAGAGATGTTAATGAAGAAATTTAAAAAATATTACAAAAACTTGTACTGCGTAATATAGGTTTGGTTAGCAACTGATAACGACATCTATAGTCCGCAACACAGAACTTCGTACAAAATATGACTTTCATAACGGATTCTTTATGGAACTACATGGATTTTTTTAATAAATTATAACTTTATAATATTCTGAGATATAACCTAAACCACTGGAATAATATTATTAAAATCTGTTCAGTACCTTTAAAGAGCAACAAAAATATATAAATATGTCCATATATCTAAAAGTTTCACATGGAATACCATGACACAATGCTAAACCTCTTGAAGATATTTCTTGTCGAATAACAAGTAACTACATAATAGAATTTTCTGAAAAATTGCCAATTGATTGTAACTGTGATGTATTAGAGCACATATTTGTTCCATAGACCTGTATTGTTTCCTTAATCTGTCGTATGTATGATCTGTAGTAGTGAGAACCGACAGCCGACAGCCGACTGCCACCTGACATTGAAAAACTTGAGCGTTCATGTTTGTGAATTATTTGTTCTTTGTATTCTTATACTAATTCGGAAGTCACTAAATACTGTAAGTTGAAGTATAAATGATTTATACTCGATGTAAAAAAAATTCACAGCATTATTAATTTAAACAATGAACGTTAGCAGTATTATTAACCGTCTTACATGAAAATATTTGGATATTTTAAACATTGTGTAGTAATTGTCTTATTTGTGAAAGTTTTGTTCCTGTGAGTGAAGATATATATCACTCTAATTAATAAATTGTTGGGCAACATCTTTAATTTCTTGATCAAATAAATCAATCATTACGTTTATATTTCATTTCAGATACACGATCAAAATGGCAAGTCAATGGGGACAGAAAGCGGAAGAATTAGAAATATCGAATAAGGTTGCTGGTTTGGGTCTCGGGAAGAAGCCGGAGAGTCAAAAGCCAGAGGCGGACGACACTCATGATACAGCGAACCCGGCCGAGGCATCGCTGCTCATGAAAATAATCAGACAGGGTCTAGTAGAATCAAAATTAGACATTGAAATCCAACGGAAGGATCCCAACTCCCCTTTGTATTCAGTGAAAACTTTTGAAGCCTTACATTTAAAACCAAACTTACTCAAAGGTGTATATGACATGGGATTCAATGCGCCATCCAAAATACAGGAAACTGCCTTGCCCACACTCCTAGCTGACCCGCCGCAGAACATGATTGCACAATCTCAGTCGGGAACAGGAAAGACGGCCGCATTTGTGTTGGCGATGCTGAGTCGAGTTGATCCAACTAAAAACTATCCGCAAGTATTGTGTCTCAGCCCCACGTATGAATTAGCGATTCAAACAGGCGAAGTGGCCGCCAGAATGGCTAAGTTTTGTCCAGAAATTAAAATGAAATATGCAATCAGAGGAGAAGAACTGCCTAAAGGAACAAAGATCAACAGCCACATTCTCATAGGCACTCCCGGCAAAATGTTAGATTGGGGAGTTAAATTTGGAATGTTTGACTTGAACAAAATCAAAGTATTTGTTCTGGATGAAGCAGACGTGATGATCGACAGGCAGGGACACCAAGACCAGTGTATTCGTATACACAAATGTCTGCCGCAAACCTGTCAAATGATGTTCTTCTCGGCCACCTATGACAGTGCTGTCATGGGATTCGCTGAAGCAATCGTGCCCAATCCTATCATTATAAGGTTGTTAAGAGAAGAAGAATCATTAGATAATATTAAACAATATTATGTTAAGTGCAAAAATGCTGAGGACAAGTATAGAGCCATCTGTAATATCTATGGAGTGATTACCGTCGGACAAGCAATTATATTCTGTCACACGAGAAAAACGGCGAGTTGGTTGTCTGAAAAGATGTCAAGAGATGGCCATTCTGTAGCCGTGCTCTCTGGAGAGTTAACTGTGGATCAGAGAATAGCCGTTCTTGACCGGTTCCGAGGAGGTGTGGAGAAAGTGTTGATAACTACCAACGTCCTCTCACGAGGAATAGATGTCGAGCAAGTGACCCTAGTAGTCAACTTTGACATGCCCATGGATATCAACAAGAAAGCCGACTGTGAAACTTACTTGCACAGAATCGGTCGCACTGGAAGATTTGGCAAAGCCGGTATAGCTATCAATCTGGTCGACTCACCGCAGGCAATGGAAATATGCCTCGACATTGAAGCCCACTTCGGCAAAAAAATTAATTTGTTAGACATAGAGGATGCCGAGGAAATCGAGAAAATTGGTGCATAATTCTGTTGATATCTGTACTTTTACATCTGCTCCATAATGTAAGGATGCTTATAAAATTAAGAATTATTATCAGCATAGGTTTAAGCTTCTTAATAAAACATGAAAATTATCATTCAAGATTTTTATTTCAGAACAATCACACCACAGATTACACTTACACAAATATTCATACCACTGACAATAAATAATTGCAGGAACTTTGAAACACATTGAAAAGTTATCTAGCTGGTTGAGACGCCGGCTCGGGATTAGCAGCTCCGGAGATCATGACGAAAATTAGAATCGGTACTATGTACATCCACTGCAAAAATTAAATGTTTTATTAGGAACAACCTACATTAGTTTAAATAAAACAAATATGATTCTACTTACATATTTGGCATAGAACGGCCTGTTGTCTTTCAAGTCACCTTTCTCCTTGGCCTCTCTCTCTCGCTCCAGTTTCTGTATGTATGTAGCCGTGTCAGGTCTGCAACATTAAATTTGTTGTCATACTTCCATCATTAATATAATTCATACACTTAATATAATTTCCTCATCAATATTAATCAACATACACAGGAGCTTGGTCCACATGGTTGACATAGAACTTAGAGTTTATTTCATATTCGGCAGCCGTAGCTTCCAGTACATTCCCGTTTGTTGTGTTTGTGACTTGGAATGTAACGGCCATGACCTCACCATTAGGTAAGATCCATGCATTGATCACATCTGACAATCTACTGTCTAAGAAATACTTGGCTTTAACGGATGACAAATATTCTATTTCCCGAATCGAATCGGACGTCGTGACCAATGTGCGTACTGTATAGAAGCCGTCTAAGTCGGCTAAATCCTGAAATAGAATTAATTAATTTCATCCATTGATATTTATTGTACATCAAAAACTCAGATTCCCTAGTAGTGTAAATCAAACAATCTGCATGTGTACCTTTAGCTGTGAGATATGCTGTTTATTAAAGTTAATTTGTTCTATAACCGCCGTTCCGGTTCTCATGCTTCTTAGTGATATGCTGCCCCGAGGACAGAACTTTTCGGTCTTACAATTTAATGAATGTTCCATTTTTATTTGTAGCCAGCCATCATAGTCAAGGCAGGACTGTAACAGTTAACAATTTTCACATTAATATTTATTGAAGTTTTTTATCAATAAATTAACTTTTAAGGACTTCTGTTGATCAGAGCCGTACTAACCGCGACGTAAATAAAACTGAAACAATAAATAACTCCTGTAAGTCTCATTGCAATTAATATATGTGAGATACTAATAAAATACAGTGTTTTTTAATTAATCGTAAATAATTTACTGAAATTTTATTTTAATTCAGCACTCAATGAAATTTCATTTAGGTTCTCTCGTCTAAATTGACAATCTGTCAAATGTTCACACAGATAACATCTTTTTTATATGTATATAAACTTGTTTCTATTTTATAGAAAAACTATTAATATTTATCTACAATTATATTAAACTCAAAACCAATCAAACAATTCTAATTGAACTAAATAGGACAATTTTATATATACGGAAATGTTGACTGTCCTCTACTCCCGTGTAAAAGGAACATTGTGGTGACTGTCCTATTACTTGTCAACACTCAACAGTCAACACTCAAAAGACTGATAGTGAACTTCCATATACCATTTATATGGACCGTATTGGGCGTATACTTTACTTAGATTGAATGAAATGAGAAAGAAATACTTATCAAATAACAACAGAAACAAAATGGGTTTACCATTTTAACAGCTAAATAAACTTTTGGATCAATATCTTCATACACAATAATCGATCATGGAAGAAGTGGATTCCATTATAATACATTTTCTTCGGAGATTAAATATGTGTGTATAATTTATAAAAAAAAATATTAAAATCAGTTACAGAATAGTTAACTAGTGTTTATTATGAACATGTTTCTTACTTCGTTTCTAATATTGTTTTTTGCTTTCAAGAGATATCAATGAAGACATTAAAAATATTTGTGATCTCCCCGTCGAAATAATAGTCGAGTCAGCGGCAAAATGTATTAATACGATCAATAGCAGCCTCAAGGCTCCGAGTAGATTACCACCTGGGGTTTCACAACGAATAGAGGTAGCAGCTCAAATGGCGACAATATGTAAGGTAAGACAATGAATGCTTGATACATAATACTATTAATTGTAGTTGTAAAAATAGTGATTCACGTGTTTACTGCAGGACTTGGGCTACCAAAATGATGTTGGTTACCAAACATTCCTATATCACAATGAGACAGAACTTAGACAAGTGTTCATGTTTTTGATAGAGAAGTTACCCAGTGAAGATACAAAACCAGCCGCTGAAATAAAACCTAAAGACCAGAAACACAGACTTCTACAAAATATAAGCAATAAAATATCCGAGGACCTCACAGCTATATGGATACCTCCATGCTGTAAACCTACTAACAGAAGTATTCTGGGGGATTTTATATACAAACAAGGTAGGCATACTACTTGTCTACTAATTCACTTTAAATAAACTTTCATACATATATTTTGATAGTCCACCAATGCTTTCTTTGTATATTTACATTAATCTTTAAAGTTTAAGAGGTTTTTTATAGACATGGTTCATTTAGGTGCCCATCGCTAAAATAATGAAATGTTTTTCCACCAATTTGAGTCTAAAGAAGTATGTCTTTCAGCTCGATCAGAGATTAATACATGTCCAGAAGATATATTGGAAAAACTTATAAAGATTCAACAGATGAAGGAAAATATTAAAACGGATGGAACAAGTGTATCACAATCACCAATGAGAATGAGTCATTCAACGAGTACTTCTGAGATTCCTTTGTGTGATGAAAAATCATATGAACTTGATAAGTCCCTCAAAGAATTAAAAGAAACGGCCGTGATGTTGAGACAAAAGTATGAAGCACTCACCAAGGAGAGAAGTGATATGGACTCGGAACTAACACAAGTAAGAATATTGTCTTCATTGAAATAGTTATTTGAAACTTAATTTTGGAAACAATATACACAGGGTTTGAATTAAACAACTTTAAAATGTAGTACATTACTCAATTATATCCTAATTAGGTTCAAAATAATTGTGCTCGTTATGAAGCCGACCTCAAGAACATACAAAATATTTTAATAAGTGCCGGGGTCACTGACCTGGATACGATGGATGATGGAGGAAATATAATGGAGAAGGTTCATCAGAATATAACGAGACTACATCATGACAGTGAAGATCTGACATCGAGAAACCTGGCATTGACCATGGAAATAAATAAGTTAAGGAATAGTAAGAAACTAAAAGAGGTGAGAGATTAATGTAAATAACTTATTTATGAATGATAACAAGACATATAATATATCTAACAAGTATGACGAATTATTAACTGTTTTCAGTCTGACAGAAGTAAATGTAGAACAATATTGATAAACCTCAAAGAAACTGCCAAGGCGATCAAAGAAGAATGTGAAAAGAAAGAGGAATTAAGAAATCAACTTAAAACTAAATATGAGAGATTAAAAGGAGGCAACAAAAGGTAAGGAAAAATTAAGAGAGGCATGCTACCAGCAGGAGTTGTAGTAATACTAATGTGGTTCTATGATTTCAGACACATCTATACTAAAAGAATCTTGGAAATCATCGGAAATGTTGACAAACAGAACGCTGAAATAAAGAAAATATTAGACGACACGAGACAGTTACAGAAAGAAATTAACACGGTTGAAGGACAACTGGACAGATGCTTCTCAATCGCTGATGAAACACTCTTCAAAGTATGTACGAATACATTTCTGAGACAGCAAGTATATCGCAATTACTCATAATCTGGTTTTTGTAGGATGCAAAGAGAGACGACCAGGCCAAGAAGGCCTACAAGCTGCTGGCGTTGTTACATTCTGAATGTAACACTATAGTGTCTCTGGTGAATGAGACGGGAGTGTTGTCCCGAGAGATCATTGACCTCGAAGATAACATCAAAGCCGAGAAGTCCAAACGAACGGAGGACATACTGCAGAAAATACACCTGGACCTGTCGAAACTACAGAAGGAAACTTGATACTAAAATAAATATTTGATCTGAGTTAAAAGTTTATTAACTTTATTTCCTCTTTGGCAGTATTTCTGGTGGAACATAATCTTCGTCTCCCTTGTGTTTGGTCCCCTTCTTGGAGCTCCACGGATCCTGTAGTTTCTCCTTCTCTTCTATCTGTAGGTCGATCTGTTCCTCGTTGTCAAAGAACCACAGCCTCTGTTCCTCCGATGCCAACTGCTTCTGTTTCTCTTCAAACATTTTGATGTGTCTCGTTCTGTCCAAGCGTTTTGTTTGTTCTTCCAACTTTTCTTCTCTCATCCTTTCCCAATTTTTAAATAACTGAAAAGACATTTCTTTATTATAGCACTGTGATTCATGCAACCACAATATTGATAAAAAATAAATTAAAAGTAATTCATGTAAAGACAGCTAAATATATGATTTTAAATGTAAGACTCCTTAGTACTAACCTCCTTTTGTGCCGAGACATCTTTGTTCTGTGTCTTATTGATACAATTCTCTATGGCTATCTTCATTGAGTCTTCTAATCCAACATCACTTGGGGGTGCATTACTCAGTAACTCAACACAGTTTTGTAGGATAACTTTATTATCTTCTTCTGCTTTTTCTAATTCCTTCTTCAATAGTTCTATCACATCCTTATAAACTTTAGTTGATTCCATTTTAACAATTTCTTTACACAATTCCAACAATCTATTATACTTCTTGTAGAACAGCCATCCAATAACTTGCAGATTATTACTCAAGTTATCTGTGCTTACTTTCGAAATCCATGCTAAAGTTTTTCCTGATAGCAAATGTAAATTGGTTAAGTCAAAATGATCATCAAAATATGGATTTCTTAAGAATTTAATTCTGATTTTGATCTCCTCTTTCTTCTTTTTGCTGTCATCTTCCTGCTCTACACTTGTGGGTTTTGTTTCTTCACACTCTGATACATATTTGTAGCAAGCATACTGACAGAGGGAACTTGTGATACTATTAGAAAAATCTTCTTGTAACATAACAAGTGAGGCTACATTGGCAGCTAACTCGTAATTTTTTGACGTAACTAATTTGTCTAAAAGGATATTGGCCGTGTAGAAATCTAAAAATATACCAAATTTCAAAGGTTCCTTTAGAATAGACACAATATCTTGAACATTGCCAAATTCTATAAAGTTCCTAACAGTAGCGTGATGTGTTGATTCGAGAGTATTTCCAGTCTCGGCAGACAACCTCAACTTGTGTAATAAGTCTTTGAGTTCTTCCAAATAATTGGAATCTTTGAGAGCGTTCGCAAATATATCGACATCAATAGCGCTTATGACACCTTTCGAATTAAAGTTTTGATCCAATATACTGTAGAAGTCATTCAGGTTAACCTTAGTTAAAATGGGTGAATATAAATGCGCTTTCCAGGCCTCATTACATTTATATTCGTCGGTTAAGAATGTTTGTTTTGGAGTGAACAATCCTACATAACATCTCTGTAAAACACACTTTCTTACACTCCGTAACATACTGATCAGGATTTTAAGAAGAAACTCAGTCCAGGAAACTTAATATACCCTTAGTAATTACAGCCGACTCAGTGAAATTGTTTTTTTATTGTATTTAATAAATACTATTCAATATCAGAGGTTATTATACAACCTCATAAAGCAACCACAATTGACATCTGATATGACTTCAGACAACACTGACTTATGCCTTCAGCCTTGTGATGTTTTGTTTTGAAATATAGTTTGTCAGGTGTGCATAAATTCTTTATTGGATACATATACTACAGGAATTATGGAAAATTATCTTCAGAGGAAAACTAGAGGAGAAAATAAGCAATAAACTTACTTTGTCGATAAAATAGCGTATAATTTAAATTAAATCACTTTTTTTTCGTTGGATTTTACTCGCCAAGTACTTTTTCTTTAGATAATTATATGACAATAAAAGATTATGTTTTCTTAGACCTTAAACATCCAGAAAAAATCCAGAAAATGAGTGTTCATATTCAAAATGGTAAAAAGGATAAGAAGAGGAAGAAATATACTTTATTGCACTCAAAATCATAGGAAATAACATTACATATAAATACAGAAAATTGAAGGCAAGGGCGGATGGAATTTTTAGATAACATTTAAGTGAAAATTTAAATGTTATCTAAAAAATCCATATATGTACTAGTGACAGAGTTATTTAAGAAGTCGATGCCCGCAAAAGAGAATTTGTTAAAAAATCAATTTAGATTAGACTATTATAAAAATAATATAATTAAGTGAAATAGAATTCAGAAAATTGCTTAAAACAAGAAAATTAGTAATAGTTAGACATGAAAGAACAAAACAATGTAGGTTCTAGAAAATTTTTTCTAAAAAAATTTTCTAGAACCTACATTGTCCATCAGTTATTTTGTCTAGATTTTCTTCTAGTACTTAAACACCTATCGATATCGACAAAGTCAAATCACCATGTTAAATAAAGAATTAAATTGAGTTAAGTCTCCTAAAAACTATAGAGCAAATAGCAGTTTTACAAAAGATATTAATTTTTATGGCAAAAATACGATTGTTTTAAAGTAAAGAAACAGAAAATTAAATTTACCAAGTTTGTCAGTGACTTTACTAAATAATACAAAAATATTTTTATAGTAAGCAATTTTTCTGTTTAATATAAATTTCCCCAAACAGTACCTGTGCCCGCAACATTTAAATTTAAAACCGACGCAGAACTCCACCCACCCATGAGACTATGCATGTGACGAGACTGAAGACAACACACAAAAATATAATTGATTTTGGCTAATTTAAATATTAATATACATTTTGAAAGTAGCTTTTAGGTTCTTTATAGTCAAAATAATGTTACTTTATGAAGTAAGGTCATTTCAAGAATCTATTTTCGGACCAACTATTAAACTTTTTTAAATTGTTTGCAATGTTTACTATTCTTTTTAAATCATGTTTGAATTCTTTTTCACTTCACCTTTAGTATTCTGCAACTAAAAACGTTTTTTATGTATTCCTATAAGTCTCCTCGTAGTGGTATATCCATAACACAAAAGAATTAAACATTTACTATTCGATTTTGGTTCACGAAAGTTAGTTAGTTAATAGAAATCCTTATAATTCTTTAATCTTCAGTTATAACAAGTTCCTAATTAATTGCGTGACGGTGTTTATCGGTCGGTAGGACGTTTAGTATGGGAATAATGTAAATAATCTGGAATAATTCAACATTCTCAAAATGACATTAGATTATTTAGGGAGATGAGAAAAAAGATGGTGACCATAAACTCGGGTCACTACTGTTGTTGACACAATTTTGACGCCATAGAGCTCTAGGAAGGATTCAAATTGATCACAACTCAAATCAATCTACTGTTGAAACCAGTTAAGGCAGTCCTCTTCACCTTAATGACATTCTGTCAGGATATAAAAGAATTACAAGTTTTCTCAAACAGTTACCGGGACTCGTAAAAATTGTAAAGATACAATTTTTCTGAACAGCAACATAATCTCACAGTTACTTAAATATAATGTTGTGTGTCTCTATAAATAGAAAGAATATAGGTATTTATACAAAGAAATGATTTAGGAAATAGTATTAAAATCCAGTTGTCATTACAATAGTATTCATCTTTTATTCTGTATTATATCGTAACAATTGAGATACAAAAGCATTTAAAAATACAATATCAGTATTTAATATCAGTATAACAGCATTCATTTCAATTAAGGCTTTTAATTCTTTGTTTGAGTGTGAGTGTGTGGGAGCATCACCGGCTACACATCTTAGTAAAACATGATACAGTTCAGGATGGGTCGTTGGCACTTGGATTCAAACTCATGAAGTAACTCGTCAATGTCATTGTCTAAGTCGTCACTCTGAGCCATCTTAGTGACCATGTCGCTTATCAGGAAGGCTCCTATTGTGGCTTCCTCGTGATTGTCTTGTATGTCCACATTCACTACATGTACGGGCTGGTTGTAAACGGACCTCTTGGATCCAAACCATTCTATGACTTGATCATAGACTCTCTCTTCGCATGTAATTATCACATCGAAGCGCTCCGTCGACACTTGAAACTTCTCCGGGCAAGGTTTAATTCTTCGATTCCTATCTAACATGTGTAACAAACCGTTCTGGGTGTAATAAGCCTTGTCTTTCTCTAACAGATCGTTGTATATATCATCGTAGGGAACACCGAACTCGTAACAGTTAGGTCGGTCAGCGGACGCACCGGGCAACTTCACTTTCTCCCCGGTCCCGTAGGATTTCACTTTGAAACCTTTTTTAGCTAAGAAGGCATGTGCTTCCATACTTCTATTCATATTAGAGGAACAAACAACGGCGATATACAAACCGTCCATGGTATTTATTTTACAATAAAATATAATATTTATATTAGGAAAGTCGTCACCAACTTCATTGGTTATTTAATCATTATAAATAAGGTCCAAAGATACTCTCCTTCCATAGTCTGTTAGTAAATAAGGCTAGCGTAGTATTCTCTCTCGATTTTTAAATTAAAAAATCTACTAACTAGTGTTATATTCTTAAATTAGGTCGTTGACTAAATGTAAATGTCACTAAACCTTTCAAACTCAATTTATATACATGTTATTTTTTCATTACACTATGGCTTCATTCCGATGTACATTTTATTAGTTTCGTGTCACTTCTGACACTTCAACATTTCTGTTGTCGTTGAACAGATAGTATTGGATTTAATTAAGTTCTTTCATAAAGTTCAATGCTTTATAGAAAATAAGTGTAACCTAATATATTATAATTTTTCTAAATAGTTTACAATATATCAAACCTTTAACTTTTAAAGTTAAATTATTCTCAGCTTTGAATTTTAACAAAACTCGTGGATTTCAAAAGAACTTTTATTATTTCTTAACTATTGAAATATATATAAAACATAATTTATATTAGAGTACGAGGACTTTAATACTATTAATTGACTGTAGTTTATAACCAAACAGTAAAAAAAAACGTTCTATAGGCATTTAATATTTGTGAGATGTGACATTTCTTAACTGTACTCTATAATCTATATCACTATGTCAGATGTCTAAAACTATCAAATATTAAATATTGGAAGTAATCAGATAGAATTATTGAATAATATATATTCTGGTTATATAAAAACTATGCTATAAAACAAAGTGAAGTTATTTGAAAACATCAATATGACTAATATATTTAGAAACTTGTTGAGCATTGGTCATTCTTGTAACCTTAAAAGTAACCTACACACTTCTCCCTTACATTTTGCTTGGACCAAAAGTAATTTACCCAAAAGGTTTTTAGAATACAATAAAAAGATTTACCCTCCACAAGAAATCGACGAAGAACCAAGACCTGCTGTAAGTTTATTTTAAAAGATACCCTTTTGAAATCAGAATCAAACCATTTTCCTCATACAATAAGTATTATTTATATACATTTAATTTGTATAATACTTTTGTGACGTAGTGTCATGTGTTATAAATATGTATATGTTTATATTTATTACAGTTTGTATGTCATCAGAAGACTAATATTAAGTATAGCCCCGAGAAACTATGGTACATAGCGGTGTTGGTTAGAGGAATGACCGTTGATGAAGCTCTGAAACAGTTGAGTTTTGTTAACAAGAAAGGTGCCGGTTATGTTAAAGACACCATACTGGAAGCACAAAACCTGGCTGTTACTGAACACAATGTTGAATTTAAGAGCAATCTATGGATTGGTGAGGATTATATTTCTATTAATATCTCTGTTATCCATTACTTGTGTACTAACAATCGCCATATTTCTAAGATGGTAAAGCTTAGCTGTGGTCAAGATGCTGCAGCTCGAACATGGGCTGGCTCGACCGGGGAAGTACCACGCTCTCATAGAAGATTGGCGTGAAGTAGCCTTTACCGGTTGCATTTCATCTGATGAGTGTGAGAGCCGGTTGCCCTTTCCCTATTCCTATCCCTTCCCTGTTCCCTCCCTTTTCAACTTTTCCCTCCCTCTCTTCCCTGATCAAGGGTGGCGACACATCCGCAACATAAAAAATACTACGACCTCCATCATGTAGGCCGTCTGTTTGGTTGCCTCCTTTTACCATTAAAAAAAATCCACTAGCAAAGCATTTCTAATTATCATAACTCGGTTTCAGCGGAATCCTTCTCTGGCAAGGGCATGGTAATCAAGGGAGTGAGAAGACATGCGAGGGGTCGACTGGGAGAAGTGAGGTACCAGTACAGTCATTACTTTGTTAGATTAGAAGAAGGGAAGCCGCCCAAAGACTATTATAAACAAAACCCTCTCACACCACAACAACAACTGGACCGCTGGCTCGAACAAATGAGGAAAAGGAAGATTATTAACTCTTATTAACTTAGTTGTCTGTATATGTAACCTGTAGTCTAAATAAATGTATTGAACACAGTGTTCCAATCATTTAATCATGAACATTCATTGAAGGTATCAAAAGCTTCATTTGTTATCAGCTCGTCTTCCGATCAGGCAGATACATTATCATTTGACTTTAGCTAGGATCATTTCTTCTAACCCTTTCAGTTGTCTGAATGAATGGGTAAACTAAAAATAGCAAAATAAAATAATACAATACAATATAATGTAGTATATTTCTAACATTTACATAGTAAAAATATTGTAAAAAGCTAATGTATGCATAATAAAATATAAATTCAAGATCATAAAATGAATACATAGGAGTATCGTTAATACTTATGACTAATGTAAGTACATACTGGCAATGGTACATGTATAATATTAATATCATCGGAAATCATACACTGAGTGAGGTCCTCGCGTCTGGCTTCTTGGGCACGTACCCATACAGGAAAATGGAGCCTATGACAAACAAAGTTCCAGAAGCAAACTGAATGGTCAAGTGGAAGTCGAATATGTACATAGAAACTACACAGGATATTATAATGGCTACGGAGGTCGCAAACCCTTTGAGAATGTTATCAGCATATTTGACCACGACCGCTACAATGAGACCCCCAGCAGCCTGCAGCACCACCAAGTACCAAACGAAACCATCGAACCCTTTGAGGAGGTTCGTCATAGTTCCCTCTTTAATGGCATGCGTTATGATACCAAAGGGAATAGAGGCCAAACTCAGCTGCACATTCCTCATCCACACCTAGAAGAATTAGTTTAGAATTTTTATTAATAATCTTACTTAATGAGATCTAAGATTTTAGCGAGTACTCATCTAAATGAAACTAATATTTGCGGCATTCATAAAATACTTGAGATATTTGAGGGGGGAGGGGTCGAGTCAAATTTCATCTAATGTTACGTTGGAGGGGGAGGGAGTTTCTGCAAATATCATATCAGAAATTTTAAAATTTCATAAAAACACCTCACGTAATTTATGAAATTATGTAGTTTATAATCGCATAGTAAATCCGTAAGTATTAGTTTCATTTAAATAATCTCAGTTATTTTAAGGCAATAGCAATAATTTTGATATGAGTACAAACATTTTCAAAGCATACTTACAGAGATATCAGACTCTTTCAGAACTTTTTCAAAGTAAATTCCGGCAAAACCGGAAATAAAGCAAGCTGCTAATGCTGCACCGAAACCGATTATCTTAGATTGCTTCGGCAAATTCGAGGAAGTAGTGGCCTTGGCTTTCTCCGTGGAAGACAACTGAACGAGAGCTACACCTATCACTAACAGCCCTAGAGCACCCCACTGCCATCTTTTTAATTTTCTCTTCAATACAATAACGGCAAAGAATGCTGTGGTTAACAGTTTAAGTTGATATGTGACCTGAAACATAAAAATATTTAATGAGCCACTTATAAAACTTAGTGTATAATGTAGTGACAATCTCATATATAAAAAATTCTTATGTCACAATGTTCGTTCCCGTACTCCTCCGAAACGGTTGGACTGATTCTCATGAAATTTTGTGAGCATATTGAATAGGTCTGAGAATCAGCTAACTATTTTTCATACCTCTAAGTGATAGGGTTTGTTCACCTCTAAAGTTTTTTTTATATTTGGACGAAAGATTTTGTTTTTATTTTTTTATCATGTGGCATAATAAAGTACATACAACCCAAAATTTTTACTTTTTTATCGCCAACCCTTATTTTTTAGATACCAAAACAGTGTTAGTCAGGTCGGCTAGTAATTAATATAAATTGTAAAGAGAAACAGTAATTGAGAAGAGAAACAGTCATCTCCTTACTATCTTATCACCTCTATTATTTGAATATATTGTGTATGTACCTGATATGTTGCAGCATCCAAGTTAGATGCGGACACATAAAGTAAATTATTCTGTATGACGTACAGAAACGAGGGCACACACACACGCAGAGTGTCCTTTATATTGAGTACAACAGTATTGTACATTGTTCGAGCACCTTTTTTAATATTTCCAGATTCATTCATGACTAGAACTATACATATCGCTAATTTGAGAACCTCTGCCATCAGAACGGCTGTAAGAAAAAATTATTTCTATGAATATAAAGTTTGTTTCCTTGTCTTTATAATATGAACTGGGTGTATAACCTGCCGTCGATGAAAACATCTCGACATCCCTTGTTCTTGCATATCTCATACTTAAACCCAAAGCTGCATTTTGTATTGTCAATATTGCTAGACTCACATATTTAATAAATCCTGGAATAAAAAGATTAAAATGAAATCTAAACTGATAATCTATTACTCTATCTTATCATATTAACTAATTAACTACATGTTTTTTTAAGTAATTCTCAGAACTTGTCATATTCACACACCATAATTAACATTTCTGTTAGCAGAGAATGTCTGTGATTTCTTCATGTCTCCGTTCATTTCCTCGGGGTTCAGTCTCTCCTCGACGGTGATGGTCTCTTCTTCTTCGCTTTTGTTTTCTATACTTTGTGTTTCCTGTACATTGATGTCGTCTGATGACTTCATATTAACAACATACTTGTCCTAACTAACATCAAAGTCATATATGTTTAAACAAATATTTATTTAAATTAAATTAAATGCACAGCATGCTTTTGTTCATGAAACAACGAGGTAAAAGTGAATTATGTTATAAATAAACCGTGTAATTTTTTTTCTGTAGAATAGATATTAAGATTATATTTATAATTTTATTAAACAATGTATTATTTTGCGACCACTAAATAATTAATTGCAATAATTGTATTTCGTAAATCAAACTTTAGGTAATTTATACAAATAGATCTATAGCAAGTCGAGACGTCCACCACACACACTCACCTTATAGTATCTTAGCTGTATTATAAAATTAATAAACAGTTTGAGTTTAATTTATCAATATAAAGTGTTATCATGGATATTGTTGACGTTGCAATACACGGTTTGTCTGTTCCACTATACTGTCACCGTCACTCGTCACTGTCAAAATAACAATGTTGATGTATGTATACGGGTATATAGGAACATACGTAGGAAGTAGGAACCTTTTAATATTGAGATATCATATCAAACTAGTTTTATTTATCGTTATACAAAATTGTTTAATAATTACTTTATAACAAGAATCATTAATAAATAATATATTATAAGGACCTCTTTAACATTAACGACTACTAAAAACTAATTCTTTAAAAAGGATTTATTAAATTTTCAATTACTATCTTAATTTTCTCATTTAAATATTATATATATGTACACAAACTTATACTTTTATTTGATAAATTATTCAGCCTTTATTATCCCATTTACATTATTTTATAATATTAAGCCTCAATAAAAACTTTCATAAGAGAAAAAAGATAACTATAGTAATTAAAAGGAAGGAATAACTGTTAAGTTACCAATAAATACTATATTAGTATATTAAAAATACGACAAACTTTAATCGTCACACATGAACTCGATAATTGGATGTCAAAAAAGTTATACATAATTATTTTACCAAAAAAAGATAGATTGATTGTTGAACGTGGAAACGAGAAGAATATTATACTTAGCGCATAAACAACTTTATTACATTATTTGTTGAAATTTCTAATATTAGTAAAAAAAAATATTACTCGAATATACTTAAGTATAGCGTTTATATTGGTATGCAAATGCAAACATAGCAGCTATCAGAACTGAACTGAACATGCTTGATATAAAGTTTCTGAAGAGATCGAAACTGGTGGAAATCTGTTTTTTTTTTAACGTCGAGATAGTACTGACTCGATATAATATTAAAAGGTTAATTAAAAATTTCATCAACACGAGCATGACTGGAACCCACAGACTTCAGGATCACTATCGGCACTGGCGGTAGTATTCGTGCATTTTAATATACGACTAGCTTTTGCCGCGACTTCGTCTGCGTGGAATAGTGACTTCCGGCAGATTTTTGGTCCTTCCCACATAGTTCCCGTTCTTGCGGGGTTTTCGGAATGGTCGAGTTCCCGTAGAATTTTCAGAATAAAACCTGTTTTTTTTATTCACAATGAAGTACTCTTAACCAACAAAATATTTATTTGTTTATTTGAATAAAGATTAATATTATTATGTTGATACAACTTAAACAAATTATTTCGACCAAATTAATTACCATAAAAACGGTTTTTGTGAGTTAATCTTAAAAGATAGACATATACTGTCGCGGACTGTTTTTTAGATCATTAAGAGAGCTATTATTCTTTAACACATATTTTTTGTGTATCTTGAACCGTTTTCACGGCGCACGCAACGGAAGGCTTCAAAGATGAAATAATTTCTCCCGTTTTTTACACATTTACCACTATATCTTTGCTCCTATTGGTCGTAGCGTGATGTTATATAGCCTACAGCCTTCCTCGATAACTGGACTATCCAACACAAAAAGAATTATTCAATTCGAACCAGTAGTTTCGGAGATTAGCGCTTTCAAACAAACAAACAAACAAACTCTTCAGCTTTATAATATTAGTATAGATGTACACAGCCAGCCAAAATTTCAAGATCACTTCGTACACAGTTCCATATTATTTGTAAAATATTTTAAATCTGCGTATGATAATTACGTGACAATGAATACCTGTGTCATCTGCTAATAATTTTTAATGTCTAAACACTATTTCTCTTTTGTTTTACATAATGAGAGTATTTTTATTTGCCCCGGGGTGTTAAAATTGTCATTATATTGTATGGCGGCTTCTTTGTACTTTTTTTGTTATTGTTTATAAAAAAAATTATGACATAAATCCTATTTGACCATTTCACACACACACACACTTCAATTCAGTCTGAGCTCGTGTTTTGCAAACGTAATATGAAAATTTAAAGGATAACAGCCTCCAAACAAAGATGTAGACGGGAACTCCCTTTCCTTATACCTATTCTTATAATATGTACATAGTAGAATAGTCAGCAGTAACAATTGCAATATATTTTACCCATTTATTTTGTGAATATGTATTTCTTTTCTCACAATGATTATTCAGTCACGTTTTCTATTATTTTTCGTTTATATTTGGAAGACACAACATAATTGAACCTTTTTAGAATAACCTTGCTTGCTGTATCACGGAGTTTCCTTGAAAATTTCATAATAAAACACTAAGAACGGTTTGCATCATGTAAAGCAACTTAGAGCTTGTGAGTTGTGTGTGCGTGGTTATGACTTCGAGAGGACGTAATAGTTTTTTAAGTCATTAGGCAAATTGAAGAATAACGTGATATTACCAAATTGAATATCATTACAATTGTTTATATTAAGCTAGTGTTAATAATTGCATTTAAAATGATTAATTAAGTGGAGCGTTATGAGAGAATTTATGTGTAGGATATTTATTTTCGAACACATCGAGTGGGAAAAATTAGACCTTATATAAGGAGCAGGTTTAGACTACGACACCATTGTTTCTTTGGTCAGGCTGGAAAAATGCTTTTCGCATACTATTTGGCACGGCGACGGTAGCTGTGGTTATGTGAAACTCTTCGGTATAAAGCGCCCAGCCTGGGTCAGTTGGAAAGCAAGTGTCCTGTGGTCACGATTTAGCCACTGAAGCAGAATCGGACGGATCGCCTCAACGGTACGGATGCCTGCTTTCGGCTGAGCTAGCCTCGACATCCACTCCACCCTCATAACACCACGCATCTCCTTTCTTTGCGCCTCTATCTCGTTTGGGTTTGTCATTTCTTCACCAGAATTCGCCTCTTCGAGCCACCGGTATCGCTGGCGCAAGGGATATCGCCTCCAGATCCTGTTTCATAGATTCTGCCCACCTGAACGCCGCTTCCGCGGAGATAGTTCTATAACCCCGCGCCATGCGGATAGCCAACACTCGTTGCTCAGCGTGTGTGTGTGTGCATGTGGATAAAATATTCCAAAACTTTTATAGGAGGCACTGGGCCACAGGGTGTTCACTATAGATGATAACATTATATACTGGTACAGATGTGATACCCTTCTCTGATATCTAAAGGACAGGACCAGCCTCTCCTCTCCCAAAGCACTATAATGTATGGCCTGCATATCTATACTCCATAAATTAAATTTAATAGAATATTCCATCAGAATTCACATGTCTACCGTAACACTTATTAAAGTGTCAAAATGAATTTTGCAAAAGACTCAGACTAGAGGTTAATATTACTTCTGTTAAAATATTGAGTTCAGCTACAAACACATTCTCTTTTAAGATATTTCACTTTAAATGTTTTTAAACTACATAAAAGTTGTCCTTCTTAAGTAACACTTAGTGAACACATTTTTACCTTAGAATGAGATTTATTATTTCGTAGAAAATTACTTTAAACTATTCGAACTATTAGCCATTTTAAAAGTACCATTCAAGTATTGTAAAGACTATACAGAAGCACTAAGTTTTACATAATGTTAAAAAAGACAGCTGTACAAATATGTTTGTAAACAGTCATTTCTCTCTGATCCTTAAGAGTGTTAAGACACACTTCCATAACTTTATTGAAATGAGGAAAATCTTTCAATAATAATATTGTTATAAAGAATACATTGTCACATATGCATAATTCCAATAACTTTTAATATTTAGTCATTTAAAAAAAAATATCAAACGCCAAATGTTCAAACTAAATTTAATAAAATATTATAAACAAAAACATTTAACATTATGTAAGTTACAATATAATGTAGGCTCATTACACACTTGTTTCAAAGGATTCTGAGGACTCAAACTTAATATATATGTTTCATTTTGCCTGTTTATTTAAAATTATAATATGACACTACATTAGGATTAAGTTGACATCAGTGCATTGTAGAAGGTAAATATGGACATGAAACTCTATTAACAGAGATAGTTATATTAACACATGATTTATTTTGGAGATGAGAAAGACAAAAAATGGGAACAATTAATAATAATTTATTTAATATTCACTACAGTTGTATGTAACACATATTTTGAAGTTTTTATTCATCATTGGCGAAGTCAGCGGGGTTCTTGCGCGACAGACGGTGGTGCTCCCTCTCAACACCCTCATACACCAGGTACGCAATGATGAAGGCTGCAACACACAACACACATAACAAACATTACATACAGATATTACTAGGCTATCTGACGGACAACTGACAAGTCGCTTCTCACTCGAAGTGTTTAAAATAGTTTGGTAATAAGTTAATAGTAGTTAATACTAGAAGTTATGGTTTACTTATAATTATTAAACCATTACTTCTATATATCTAAAACTGAACTAAAACGTGCATTGAAAATAAATGGCGGAATTAAATGAAACATATTCATTTGAGTTTTGTAAATCTTAGTGAGAAGCTAATGAGGTGAGTTAAACTCAACACCTAAAATGACATTGGAAACTTGTTCTGTAGAATATCAATTTGAAATCGAATTAAGCACAGTTGAAACAAAATACGTAATAATTATTGTTTAACAATGTCATTTCATTTTTATGACTAAAAAAAATATGTCAGATCAATTTGTGAAAACACAAGTGTTTCTTTTTTTGAAAAATCTTAGATACATCTCAAAACGATCTATAACAGGAATAAAGATATCTTACGGGGTGCGACTCTGAAGACAGATTCACGAAATCTTCGGAAAATGTTGGGTATACCATGAGATATGGCTCCTGCAAAAGCGCGTTGCTCGTAAGGAGATAATTTATATGTAATAAGTCCCCTTATTTTAGCGAGCTCTCCAAAGTGTTTCCCCATCGTTGATAATATTAATTATTTTAACTTTGATTAAAATTTAAATTATATAATCTTTCGACTGATCGAACACTTTGCAATGGGTTATGGAACACAATGCACAGACTAAACGTGAATGTCACTTGTCATTTGTCAAAGTTAACACAAAAACATTTAATATACATATATTACATTAGACAATACAACTACAACTTGAACAATGAATCACATAAATTTTATGTTTTTACTTACTTATAAGTAGCTTATGTTATATTATGTAATACTAAATTACAGTATGTATTAATACATGGAGTAGAGTTTTATGAATCTTCTATACAAGTTCAAACACTCTTCGGATCAAAAGCATTCAAATAAATCTTTAATATAAAAATATTTTAAATCTTAAATTAATTATTGGACCACAAAAAGTTGTAATAGGAAATTAATACTACAAGATATCCGACTTAACATGTTATTTTTATTTCATTATCAGAGAACGGAATACCCTATTAATAAAGCCATAACGATTTATAATGTGGTGATAAATACAAGCTTAAAACTAAACAATAAATTTTATTTATATCATGGTAGTTTAAAAATTAAAAATATATATAATATTATGATATATTGTTTCAACCGGGATTCGTTAAGATTATTTGTAATATGACATGTAATAGGTGCAAGAAAATATTTGGAGGGATGCAATAAAAGCTGATTATTGAAATGCTCGTAGTTAGCTTAATAGCATTGCTTAGATTAATCTTGGAGTATTTTTGTGTCAATTGTACTTTACTAATAAAATCGTAAAAGGTGCTGAGGACAGTTTTATTGTCATTGTAAAATGAGGAGATATGAATGTCGTAGAAAATGTTGAAAACTGTTGACTTTGGTCATAAAACACTTTTGACAAGAGGGACAGCAAAAGGATTAAAAACAATGATATCATTTTTAAATAATAATTTTATAAATTAATAATCACTCAAAGGCGGACATTAAAAAAATCTTGACATCACTTACTTTTGTTTTATCATAAATATGTAGAATAAATTTAGTTCAATTTTAGTATTTTGCTTTAAAATTTGGCATATTCTTATGAATACTCGGCGGAACTAAGGGCAAGGGTTGATTGCAATTTATTAATTACTTCCTAATTGTAATGTCTCCTTATTTACATAACTAATATGTATTTTATTGTTATGCTCTAGCCTCATTCACACTGAAATCGTGGAATATTTTGCCAATGCCAACGTTTTTATTTGTTACACGAACCATAATCTTGAGTACTGTGAGATAGCTAATGTGTATAAATTTTAACTAAAGTCTCCTGTCAATTTCAGCTGTCATGATAATTGACACAGAGCTGTGTGCAGTGTGTCTGTTGTCAGCCTCTGTTATGAAGTGGCGAGTGCCGCCTCAAAATCTGTCATCGTTATAGAATTTAAATATTGAAGTAGTTTATTTAGTCTTTATCATGATAAAATTATCATCTTATGTATTACAAATGTGCAGTACTATTATCATTACGAATCATGCCGCGGACCGTCCCGCTAGTCACACGTATATAATGTAGAGGAACTGAGAATGTTCTTTAGTTTGTCTCCATTTAACGCTGTAGACGTACGTGGATCTAATCAATAAATATAATATCAGTTCAAACACAATGTCTCGGGTCTGTCAGGCAGCCGGTCACAAGTTCATACCGTATCAAATTAAAGAGGACGATCTGTACGGAGGGATATCGAACGTTCTCTCAGTCATAAGGCCCGAGTGGCCTTCGGAGAACATTAAATACAAGGTCTTTTTATTTATTTTATTTGTTGCAATTCGTCCATTTGCTCGTCTTAACTATGACCGATTTTTTTATTATAGTTATTTACTGATGGAATAACAAATAAATTAGTAGCTTGCCAATTAAAATCAGAGGAGGAAATTTTGCTCGTAAGGATCTATGGAAATAAAACGGATCTTTTGATTGACAGAGATGCTGAAATAAGGTGAAAAAACTATGTTCTTCATTTAAAATATTAATATAAAGTGTCTGTGTTTTAAACTGCTCGTACAATTCTTTTAGAAACATCACTCTGCTAAATAAAGAGGGTTTGGCGCCAAAAATATATGGTGTTTTTAGAAATGGTCTAGTGTATGAATATTATCCCGGGGTGACTCTGACCACAGAAACTGTTATAGACCCTAAAATATCTACATTGGTTGCACGACAAATGGCTAGGATGCACAAAGTACAACTCGGACCTGAAGTAAGTTGTGACCGGTCATGTTGTAGAATAAGGTCCTCGATATAAGACAAGTGTTTGTAGCTCATATTAACACTGACCCATGCTTACAGACATCCATACAAGTTTAATGTGAGGAAGACATTTATCATTTAGAGACAGGTCACGGGTTTATCATAACATATGGTATATCACATTAATGAATGTTCTCTCAATGAATGTATTATCTGGTCTGTATTTGGCAGTTGTGATTTATTTACTGGAGGAGGCCCTTCCATTTGACAAATGAACATCACAACTGATTGTATCAATTTAAATAATTAGAAGTAATATACATATATATATCACATGGGGTCATCAGGAAAGATTTGTTATATGAGAAAAAACATATTCATTCCACTAAATTTTGTTATGTGTCATAAATAAATTGGTAGATTTCTTTTCATTAATATCATGTAGCTTATAGGTACAGAGATATAAAACTATTTCAATTATTTCTGTAATTCATTCAGAATAATATATGTTATAATAATATTTTAGGTAAAGAAAGAACCAATGATTTGGGACAAAATAGAACAGTTCCTGAACCTCATACCAGAACAATATTCAGATCCCGACAAGCAGGCCAGGTGAGTTTTAACGACACCTCACTCACTCACACATCAGCATGTGTGTGTGTGTGTGCCTGTATCTGTATGTACATGTGTTTGTGTGTGTGTGCTCATGTATGTGTGTGTGTGTGTGTCAGGTTCGAGCGCAGCTTCGTGTCCCCTGCGAGTCTTCGGTCGGAGTTCTCGTGTCTTCAACAGCGTCTTGCTGGCTGTGAGAGTCCGCTGGTGTTTGCTCACAACGACCTGCTGCTGGGTAACGTTGTGTTGGATGAGCTCGCGGGGAGCGTGGCCTTCATCGACTACGAGTACGCGGGCTACAACTACCAGGCCTTCGACATCGCCAACCACTTTAATGAGTACGTCGGTGAGTATTACACACACACACATACATACACACACATACACACACACACACACACACACACACACACGTACGGCCTCGATCCCCCACTACAGGATAACGTATTTATTTCCGTCGAATTATCGTCGGTTTAAAGAAACCTTGAGAACGTTTTGAATACTTTTGAAATGTAGCGATTACTCCTTTTGTTGTCTAAACGACGTGTGACCGACTGTGAGCCGCTCGTTACTCAATAATAATATACATACATATATAACATACATTATACATACACAGTTTAAGTGAAGGTCGCTCGTTTCGTATTGACCGAATGCTCCTTATTATACTTAAAATGTAATCCGTGATATCATATGTGCTATGATAGAGAGACGATGGGAATGCGCTTAATATTATTGGAATTAATAATAAAATAATTGAATGAGATGTATCATTCAATACACTCTGAAGACCTAAAAGAAGTTACGCTTAATTGAATGTTCGTAAAAACTTAACAAATATTAAAGTGTCCGTGGTCTGGTCGTGTAGGTCAACATGTATCTCTTTGTAATGTGTAGTAGTAATGTTGTTGTGTTGAACAAGTTGTTCCGACACTGACCTCACCCTCTCCACACAGCTCGACTGTCTTGACTGCACACATATAGGTGTACTTGAATCTTTGTGACATAAAATAATTATCGTTACCTCTTTCATATATTATGTTTAAACTTCAAACGAAATGTCTGTTACATCGTAACACGAACACATTCCTGTGACTCTCCTCGTCGTGTAAAATGATGAGTTTTAATGTATCGGACGGTTCATTGAGTTCGAAACTCGACCGCGTCCCGTGACCTCGCGGCCTGCTCTCGTCTGTCGGGAGTAGACGAGGTGGAGAACTCTCCTTCATCTGACAATTACTTGAAAAAATAAAAATGTTATTATATTTCAAAATATGTTTTTATAAACGTTTTACAGTACATATTTTGTAGCTACAATACGAATTGATTACGTATTCACCTTAATTATTTGTGAAGTTCATTGACCTTTGATCTATTGATCTCAATGTTTATATGATCGTCGTTTCGTGATTATTATTAAGTACGGGAACTAATCCATTCAATCTGCTGAATCTCGTGTAACATCTGGTCAATGAAGACCTCGTCTTGGTCTTTCTCAATCGATCATCACCAAAACGAGTCATTTCAAATTACCTTTGAACGCGATCTTTACTCGCTCCCTGTGTATGTGTGTGTGTGTGTGTGTTCATCACCTCATATGTTTCTTAACTTTCCATCATGTCTGAAATATTCATCATTATTATATCTCTGTGTCACTAAGTCAGCGGGAGCCGGAATTGGAGATATATAAGGATATAGGAGTTTAGAACAAAATCATGAGCAATCGTTGTTTTATTGCAAATTATATTATTTAATTAGTCCGCCAAGTTGCATGTATCTCAGTGTACTAGATCTCCAACTCCACACTCGTCTCCACACTGATCTCCTCGTGTTATAATCTCTCATCGCCGGTGTGTGTCTGTATCTGTCAGGTCTGTCTCTGGAGGACATCGACTACTCCCGCTACCCGTGTGAACAGTTCCAGCGTCGCTGGGTGTACAGCTACCTGACGGAGCTGCAGGCCCGCGAGCCCCGCGAGGAGGACGTGTCGCGCGTGTGTCACCAGGTCCGGGACCTCGCGCCCCTCTCACACTTCCTGTGGGGCGCGTGGGCGCTCGTACAGTCACACCTCTCAGACATACACTTCGACTTCCTGAGGTGGGAACGACACACAGGCTGACCTAGGCCTTTAAAAGAGGGGAATATATTAAATTGTGTTATATCCGTTACAGATACGCTGAGATACGACTCGGGAGATACTACGAGCTGAAGGAGGAACGAGACGCGCCGTGACCTGGACCCGGGGGGGGGGGAGCAGGGAGGGGGGGGACCACGTAACATGATATGAATAAAAGTGTCACAACAATAAAAGCGACGTAATAAAGTTGTTATCTTGTGTGTTGTTTCATTTATCTGACTCATAAAGATAGTCGCAGAACAAATACTGTAAAACCCTAAATTATAATCTTAACAAATATGATCGTAGCGTCTGTTGGTGACTGTTAAATAACAGTTTTTATTATTAAATACATTCTGCAAATATACCAAATATAATATAATTTTACTATTTTTGTTTGTTTCGGTTGACCTCTGAACTGAAAGAGGCGTTTCAGGAGTGAATAACGGGTTACAACTTTGAATGATGACGAGTAAATTAACAAACCTATTTGTCTATATAATAAAAAATGCTATTTTACGCTTACAAAAACACAGAGACGATCTTAGAGCAAAAGTTGACTCGTTCAGAGGCCGAGACACCTCGCAGACTACATACGGACGCATACGTGTAGTAACTACATAAACCCTCCCACATGTGCATTTAATACTGACCAGTCCTCCCTTAAAGTGAAGGAGTTACTGCAACAGTAGCGGGAGGTTGTGCTCACGAAATAATAAGAAGCTTTCTCAATAATTATTATTTTACAATTACAATAATACCTATATCTGATATAATGATACAGTTATCAATACTCATGTCTATTACTAAATCTGTTTGACGAGTGTGTCTATAAATATTTATAAACCGACAGAGGACCTGACTTATCAATTTTTTCCAGTCTGTGTTGTGTAACACCAGGTCCCGGGGCTATCTTCGTCTCTTTTCCCGACAGCCTGAGGTGCTCCCTTTATATAATATATTAGTGGTGTTCTAGTCTGTGGTCGTGGTTTTTGCGACTGGCTGTGTTGTTACTTGTTACCTATTATATTTTCTTTATAATACGTCGATTTTTATTTCTCTATTATAAAAAGGACCAACAAAATCTTTTCTGGTCCGTACTGGTTCACATAATGAGATCTAAGATTTTCGCGAGTTTTATACATTTATTGAAACTAATATTTTCGGGATATAGTCCTACTAGTAGGCGACTTTTTTAACAAAAATCTCTTGTTTATCATATCCTATGTATTTTCTCAAGAGGGTTTATCAAATCAAAATATATTAATACAACATATTTTCAAATTTTTAGCATTACGTCTCTTTCTCTTCATTTCGAAATATTTTTTGTTTTTCCAACAAATAAATACGTATCCTACATTTTTCACTAAACGATTAATAAGAACCAAAAAGTATTTACACTTGTTTTAAAAGTCATTAGATCCATCGGTCTCGACGTCAACCAAACGTCTAATCGATAATATTTTAAAAATATTTGTAATTTACTATAAAGGAAAGATGTTTCCATCTAAAGTGTTGATGGATAAAGTGTTCGGTAACCTGGCTCACGTGCGAGGCTTGTTGACGTACAGGCTGTCTCCTCACGAGCTGAAACCATTCGCCGGAGCCTTCTCCAAGGGCGGACCCAACATGATCCCTCGGACCACCTCAACTATCATGACCTGGCTGCCAGGTACTTACTGCCGAGCTCTGGCTATGGGATTTAGGAAACCCGTGTTTATAAAATGACTTAAAACTTGTTATATTGTTGCAGTATTAATAACTTCTGTATTCATTTACGTGACCGTCGAGAAGAGTCACAAGAAGAGACAACGGAAGAACCCGAACGACTACCTCAACGAAGTGGACCCGAACACTCTTATTGATTGATTTCTTTCTTTTAAATTACTTTAAAGACATTTGTTACGATATTTTACATATTAAATATAGTCTTTGAATATAATGGCATTGTTTATTTATCATAGTTTAAGTTTCATAGATTTTTAACCCCTCGGTGGACGTCGACGGTTTGTGCATCTTAAATATTACAGTTACTCAGATTATGAATCACACGAGTGACAGAAAACTTGGAAAAGGTTAAAAGACGAGTTGAATGTTTGATAAACTGAGTCATTATTTATATAGAGAAGAGTTTGCGAATCTTAATATTATAAATACATGATATTTTAATATATTATATAGGTATGTAATGTTGACGCACCTGCTGTGTGAATAGTTAGATAACTACACCGTTGAGATCTAAGATTTTCGCGAGTTTTATTAATTTAAATTAAACTAATATTTTTCGGATTATACTATGCGACTCTATTTATGTAAAAAACTACATACTTACTGCCGACTTTTCAGCTACTTTTTAGCAACTATGATCACGGGCTGACGAGATGTGAGTGTCTGTCAGTTGGTCTTGTTATTTATCACCTCCCGCACCGGTAGAAAGCGCTCACGGTGTCTCGAGGTCCTGCGGTGTGGTCACGGGCATGGGATTTTATGTTTTTTAGAAGAGGATCCCAGATGTTTGATAGGTTCCAGTCATCTTCGCTATTGAAATGGGGGTGTTTTTTAATTTCAATAGCCTCGCTGATTAACCTTGGTATATATCTGTCTTCACGAGTGAAGATATGTGGCCATTACATTATCAAATCTAATGTAATGGCCTGGTTTGTCCAATGCATGAACACATGCTGCTGACTTCGACGCGCGCCTAATTTTGATGTCTGAGATGTGTTCTTGAACCCTTGTACCGATGCTCCTTTCTGTGTATGACAAGCGACAGTCACAATCAAGTTTGTATACACCCGCTTCTTGTAAATGGTTGGTCTCAAGAATTGGCTCACTTTCTTATGTGGTTTGTAAATAGTATTGATCGAAACCTTCTTCAAAATGTTGCCTATTCTATCAGTAACTCCCTTTACATATGGAAGTATCGCAGGTCGTCGTTCATCTGTGGGTGGCTTCAAATGGTTCTTGCGATGCTGGCGAGGCACGGGCAGGCTGTTGATGGTCAGAGCACGTCTTACATGCTGCAGCTCGGCCTCTAGGTGGTCAGCATCACAAAGGTGTTGTGCTCTCTGTAACATAGATTTTGCCAATGGTAGCTAACTGTATAGGGTGGTGGTGTGAGTTACCATTGAGATACCTATTCGTATGTGTGGGTTAACTATAAACAGTATGTCCCAAAGTATTGTCAGGATTCTTGATGACAAGTATATCAAGGAAAGCTAAAGAATTATTTGCCTCTAATTCTATTGTAAACTGAATCTTACTATTAATAGAATTAAAATGGTTCAGGAAAGCAGATGTTTTATTTTTATTTAATATTGTGAAGGTGTCATGTGTACATACCGTTCATATTTTAAAGGTCTTATTGGAAGTGAGCAAAGTACTCGCACCTCAAAGTCTTCTACTTGTATATACGTTCATCTAACCTCATTGGATAGAGGCAAATTTGTTTTAGGTGTATAATATATTATATTTAATGTACAATTTACTCATCTCATTTCATCTGTAGTGAAGTTTATCAAAGGTAACAGATGTAGTGTTTGTGAAATGTAGGTAGTTTATATTCGTAACTTACAATGAACATATTTAAAGTACTGGTTGTATTTGTAGTTTATATGACATGAGATTAGTTACTACGGATCCATCTTGATTATTAATAAAGCGAATTAATTTTTTTGATGATTTTACGAAAACAATTAAGTATCAAAACGTTGAATAAGGTACATACATATATTCTTAGAAACAAAATCGGAATAGACTTTTTTAAAAATAATATTCGATACAATTTCAATATTAAATTATTTTTACTTAAAACCTAGAACAATTTTATATTAATAACTTTCAGCTGTTTCCATTTCAACTTATTGTGAAACGAAATCTGAGTTGAACAAAACCAAAAGATTTAAACAAACTTCGAAAAACTACAATCGATTAATCTGTCACACCAACGCGTGTTACGAACGAAAAAGAATCCTGATCTCTTCTAACAGCTGCTTATACTATGTCGTTCTAGTCCCTCTTACCTTTTCACATTCCTACAATATATATCGATGTGTTGAATACTCACATTGTTGGCGGTTGCCCTGTAATATCTGAATATTTTTATAAAACTATAAAAAAAGTCTCTTTGTTGAACCTGTGCGGCTGTTAAAAGCGTACTACAAACTGAAATACCAATTTCATTAATTCCCGATTAGTGGAAAGCATCAGGCGATTGTCAAAATACATTACAATGTGCAGTCATTATTGAATGAATGAATCTATATATATATATATATATATATATATATATATATATATATATATATATAATGAATGAATGTATATATATATATTTCTCGAGAACCGAGTTTCTTTCGTCGGTTCTTCTCAGGACAGGGTATTTTGTTTTCCGAACCGGTGGTAGTGTCTCAAGTGACCATCAATAAGAAAGTGTAATGCTTCTACATTGAATAAAGTTATTTGAGTTTGAGGTTGGAGGTAGGCGGCGGTCGAGCGTGAGCTGCGAAGTTTTCTACCATGAAGATTTTCGGACGAATCGCCCCAACTCTACGGATGCTTACTTATATGTATTGCCACAATGTATAATCTACCTAAGACTACATGATTGTTCAGATGTTAGTGTAGCCGTGCCAGGTCATTTCTTGTGGGACCAGGAGTTCGTTTCACGGAGTCAGCGACGCCACTCGTTGTACGACATTTTTCCATACAACATTGTTGTCCCGGCTCTGTTCATTTAATTTTTAATAGGTTGCGTGTATGTAACACAGTCAATAATATTATCGTTCAGATTTATTTGAGTTTATACAAAAATGTATAGAAATTATATTTAATAGAAAACAAATATTTATTAATATATATTTTTTCAAAGCCGTCACTTGCTTTAGAAATTATAGTGGGTTTTCTACTGCAAATACAATGTAAATAAATGAATATCTTCAGAGGCCTTGATTCTTAGAAAAAGTTTAAAAATATTTTGATAAGGTAATCTAAAATGACGGAAGAAAGCCAATATTATATATAATGCCAACAAAAATGATCCCAGCCGTAAGAGCGGTAATCTAATGTTTTATTTATTAAGGCATCATATAGTGACTTCGTGGTATTCCAACAATCAGAGACTTGTTAGTGCCGTCTTAAACTAGAAGCGGTGAAGATATCTGAAGTGGCTGGAGACAGTTGTAACATACAAAGTTAATGAAGTTAGGAAGCATGGGAGTCTTCAGACAGATATACTGTGCCGTAATCGGTGAGTGCTTCTTTACAACTATTAATATAGTTGACTTATATTTTTCAACATTATGAGTTTTTTTCATCGTCTAAGTGATTCAACCTCTAACAGCTAAATGTCTGGTTGTAGAAGTTAATGGACATGTCTTGGATTCTAACTCACAATATTAATATGATGAGATAACGAAGACACTACAAATTCTTCTTCACTTTACACTTAGTCGGTGTGGACAAAACTATCTATTAGCACCTAGTTCGGACTAGAGACACTTGTAAAGAAAAAAGAGTCCTTTAAAATGTACATGATTGACTTTCTATGACTAATAGTACTTTAAATAAATTGAAATTATAATAAAACATTCTTTAGTTGATATAAAAATTATAAAAACAAGTTCAATAGTTCCATGGAAGTAACCTGATGGATGAAACGATGCTAGCTAATGTAGTTTAGAAAAAAAAACCGAAAGGCAGAGAAGGGACGCGGTCAAAATATGAGTTACAGACTAAGGTATTAATAATAAAGTGTTCATATTAAATGATATACGGTGGACTAGTTACAGTTACTGACTCCCTGCTCCTGTGTATGATGTTCCTCCTTTGTCTTAAACCCTACTTCTGTTTCCTCGTTCCTGCTATGGTCATAAATCATTGATACATGCTCCATATCTTTGGTATTTTATTTGGTTCCTTGTGTACAAGCACATTTATAAATATTTACAATATCGACTCGTTATATCATAAACATTAATTACTTTTATTTATAGTTGAATGCCGTCAGCCAGACGTCGATGTTTCTTGCCTTAAAACGTTCTTTAAAAATGCTTTACATATATTACTAAAAATAACTGTTATAGTTAGTTTTAGTTTTGGAAAAATGTATTGAGGTTTCTTTTTCATCGCATCTACACTCAGAATCAAAAGCAATTTTAAAATTCCAAGCGTTCGCTATGTGTTTATTAATCATTCAAGGTATTTATAAGCATTCATTTATTTTTGTCACATCTGGAAAATGTATCTGAGTAATCAGTCAAAGTTTTTTTCCACTCAAAATAAGTCCTTACGACGATTTAAATATAATTTTTAATGTGTTTATACATATAATACCAACATTAATACTACACCATAAGGCCGCTACATCTGTCTGTGCGTCTTTATTTCTAAATATAATTCAACATTTTGACTATCCAAATTTAACAATCGTTAACCTTAAGTCGATACAAAAAGATATAATACATAAAGGTAAATTATGGAATTAAAGAAGGGTGTCATCTCCTTGAATTGACCTCATGTATACAGACTTCATTCAGGAGATCAAAATAAACTGTGACATCTAAAGAAAGTGTGATATTGTTTATAAAAATGCCAATCGTCAAATTTTTTTTCGGATCCTGGACATTTTGATATTAATAGGATTTCATTTAGATTTTAATTTTCGTACGGGATTATTAACTATCTGAAAGAGAGCAAATAATTTTTAAATTTCTTCTCAGTGGCATGGTGATTACTACAGTCTCTTTTTATATCTCATTATATAAATATAAAATAGTTTTAGACTCCTTTCAGATTCCAGTCTTACAACTGCGTGAAAACTATAAGAACGCTTTGAAAGAAACTTATGATTGTTGAGGACTTCAACATCACATGTTATTTTGTTGTAACATAATATAAATATTAAAAAAAATAAAAAAAAACGAACTACTTTCTTTAATGATTATTACAAAAATTCGATTTCTTTCTTCATTCAATTAACCTTGTTAACGTAATTCATTTCATTTTACATATTTATAACACGTTATTGAGGTAAAAACTTTGAGTTTACTCATTTTCTTTATTGTTCTCGTGTTTGTAAAGAAAAATTAATAAAAATCGCGGTCGTTTTTTTCTTATTGTGTACAACAACCTTGTGTTTCAGTAATGGATTTATGAATGAACTGTGATTTATATTAATCTATCGATTTGTAGATGTATTTGATCGAGTAATCTTGTTTACTAGTGACAATTAATCAGATGTTTAAAAATCAGCTTGTTCCATCCTAAATACTCCCTAACATAATATGGTCATTATATATTTTGTAGAATAGTAACCAAATGTATATTGAAAGTCTCTGCATTAACACGACCGACGTTTTATTTTTATGTTGACTGGATCACCCTCGGCTGTCAGGCCACTCGTTGGTTGGTAGAGATGATGAAGTCACATCTAGTGGAAGCACTATCTGTGTAACAGACTAATGTGGGGTATCACAACCTTTTTAAAGGATATTGAAAAAAGTAAGACAGCCGTAACTGAGAAACAACATTTATAATAATATTATAAAGATCTGTTCATTAGAGAATCAAGACTTGAACAAAAAAGTTCCGTTTAAAATTTAAAGACGTTTATTTTGGAATTTATGTATCCAAACAACTTAGTGACTTAATAGTTCTTATAATTTCTTCAATCACATTCCTGTTGAACTCTTACCAAATAATTTAATACAAGGACAGTTTTTTTTTGTTATTTTAAAATGTCTAAAACATTGCAAATGGAAGTAGTCTAATAATTCACAAAACATGTTTTATGTCACTTTAACAGATCAGGTTTCAGATAACATCCCCAGGTTAATGATGTTCAACAGTCTGCCGTCTACATCGGAGTTGTGAAAAATATGTGTTTTAAGTTCTCTGTGAAAGTTAAACTATGGACAAATGAACTAAGTTGTATCCTATGTGCTTCTGGAAATATTTGATAAATAATTGTTTTTTTTTATTCATTCATTATCTTGATATTTTTTAACCAAAACATGAAAGTACAATAGCCTTAGCCTTTAAAATGACCTCGGTCGGCGCAAAATGATGTAGATATTAAAACCTTCATGTGAATAACGAGAGGAATAGGTATACCTTTTTTCTATGGTTGGTTTCAGGAATAGGTATACCTACCGCATACGGTCTTAAAGGCAGCCTTTTCCCACTATCAAATGTACTTGTATAGTCCGTTAGACTTAAGCTGAGCTTTGCATTTGTGTTAGTGAAAGTAAAAGTAGAGTTAGACAAAAACTTTTAAAATTCAATTTTATTATATTTAAATAGATACATAACATACATCTAGATTAAAAATAAAATAAGCAAAACATGTAAAAGGAAATATTATTTAAAAAAAAATTAAGTAATGAAAATTTTGAAAAAACAATACAAATTTTTCTCCACTAGACATTGCGTTTTCAACTTTTGAAGTTGCTACCAGTACAAAGGGTGAAGTGTGGAAGGTGCGGGGCGGAGTTAAAGCAGAATAAACCGGTTAAAAACTAGAAAAGAACGCGGCTTTCAAAAAATTGACATCACACCTACACTATCCGTGTACACTCACACAAATGCAAAGCTCAGCTTAAGGCCTCTGCCTCGAAATTTAACATTTGCGCATTAAAAGACAATAATAACAAAATGGCGAAAAAATATTTGAATGGTGTACCGACAAATTAACAAGCCTCTTTTCATTTTACAATCAACTCAGTTTCTATGACTTTTTAAATGAGTAGGCTTAAGAAAGCAATGGCTCTCGAACACTACAATATGCATATTTTTTTACACAATACACGTAAATATTTTTTGCATACCATACGAGATTTGCAGATCGAACTTCAGAGTCTTTGTATGGAAAATATACATTGAGTAGGTGTGTTTACGGCTAGTTTGGCTGGAAACAGGCGCTAGCAGCTAGCAGCGGCCCATCGTAGTGTTTCTTTACGTTGATAGATTGCACTTTTAAATTTAACCAAATCATGAATCTGATGATATATAAAAGTCTGTAAACATTCGTATTGCGTAATGTTTGATTAAAAGTATGTAAGTAAGAATTAAACAATGTAGGATTACTTTTTTATGGTTAGGGTGAGCAATGCTTATTTGAATATATTTAGTTATCAAGTGTGGAGTGGCGGAAGTGAGGTTACATTCTCATTTGCTGTTTTGGAGAGAAAGATATTTTTAAACGACTTTCGTTGGTTTGTTTTAGAACAAGAATGTCTCCTAAGAAAGATAAAGTGAACGAAATAAACAATAAGATTCTTCAAAAATCCTACACAGATAAAAATGTACAAATTGATCGACAGTTGCTTATATTGATGAAGCATTCCATTACTCGTAGGAATGTTTAAATTTTCTGAACTCCGAAGAGCCGTTACAACATGACTTGATGTAAAAAATTGGACTTGCAATCACTTGTAAAAATCAACAACAAGAAAAAATATCAAAAACAAAAAACATCTTAATAAAAATATTAGGTCATTAAATTTAAATAAAACTTATATTTTTAATGTACCTACTACGCGTTTTTATTATTTTGAACTGGTGACACAGCGAGCGCATTCTGCAGTCATCTAGAGCGGTACGCTAGGAAAGTAAGAAAACATTGGCGGTAGATGATAAATAACAAGACCAACTGACAGACATTTACATCTCGTCTGTCCGTGATCAATGTTGTTGTAAAGTGATCGAAACGTCGAGAGTATGTAGTTTATAATCAATAAAAGACGTTTTGAATCGTTCACAATTATTAGCTATATTTAAACGAACACTCATGAAGTCTTAGATATTATTAAAATTCATTAAAATAATAATATTGAAACTTTCTTCACAATTGTCTTTCTTTAGTAAGCTGACTCAAATAGAAGGGTTCATATTTGTGCATTATGAGTTTTAATTTTGATATTTCAGTTAGAAACCCGTACGAAACCGGACCGGCTGCTAGTCTTTGAATAAATTGAGTAATCAATTGAATCTTTCCAGTGGGCTGCCTCTGTTTGAACCTCGGCCTCATACTCGCCTGGCCCTCGTCCACAATAAGCTTGTTCTCTTCTGTCAACACCACTCTGGACAGACCCATGACCGAAATGGAGATAACACTTCTTGGAAGTTTATCGAGCATCGCAGCTGTCATAGGAACTCCTCTCACTGGCGTCTTGTTGGATCTACTGGGAAGGAAATATTGCTGTATTTTATTTTCTCTGGCTCCAGTGGTACGTATAGCTTGCATTTAAATAAAGTTATATAAAAACTTTCAAATAGTATAGATGATAATATATTACAGCCTGTCGTTTTGTTGCCCGAGATCTTCTAATCTATATATTTCACTCTGCTGCAGCCACTGCAAGCAAAGGTTAGGCTGCGGTAGTGCTTAGGGCACTTCTATCGAAAAGTTGATCAGACATCAGTCGTATTCGCGTTCGCCACCTTATATGTGTGTTTGATTGATAGGAACATTGTTAACCAATTTGGTAGTTTAAATAGTCTTATATGTTACTTTTTATGATAAAATTAAAAATCTATAGAACAATAATAACTAATAGTTTACAGATTGAAAAGTCACCGAAAAAATTAAATTGACGTGTTTGTAAAAGGTAGCCCAAGTTTTTAAAATAATTAACATTTCAACTAATGATATATTATACGAGGTTAACTAGAAAAAAATGTAATGCAGTGTTTTGTTTTTTGAATAGTAACCTCTCGACTCATATTTAATTAATTAATCGTCAGGTGTCGTGGTCGATCCTGTCGTTCGCTCGTCGCGTGGAGCTGGTCCTGCTGTCTGTGTTCGTGTCAGGCCTGGTGGGCACGTCCTTCATGATCGTTCCTAACTTCATCAATGAGTTCAGCCAGGAGAGCATCCGCGGCACTCTCACCGCCACCGTTAACATATTCTTCGGTCTCGGGATCATCGTCTCATATTTCCTCGGAGGGTTTTGGAGCTACGACGTTCTGAATTATGTGTACCTTACGATATTTACAGTCACTATTATTTTGTTGGCCCTGGTGAGAGAGTCTCCGGTGCATTTGATGAAAAAGGGCTTAGAAAAGGTAAAAGTGTGCGCATATACATACAATGATCATCTTCAACCCTTACTTAACTTATTTCGAACACAATTACTTGCAGGAGGCAGTCGAATCGATATGTTTCTATAGATCTGAAAAACCGAACTCTAAAATAGTTCTCCAAGAAATTGATAATCTAAGAAGAAATTTAAATCCACAGTTCGGAGGTAAGTGTTGACAAGCATGTCGTCATCCGATTGTTTCTATTCTGTTATATTCAAAACTTTTTATCTTTTATCATATGAGTATAATTTGTAGCTTGTAGCTTTTACAGCCGAACTAAAATGATCCATCAAATTGATAATTTGGTGAAATTTCTTAATAGGTATGTTGCCGGAAGGAAATAAAAAGAATTTCTTGAAATTATTGTCAACGTTTTTATTTATATGTGAGAGTAGGACTTGTATTTTTATTTTATATAAAAAAAAGTTTTCTCGGGCGTATTCATGTATGTATGCATACGTGCTTGTGTGTTTTTTTTAAGTCAGGAGAAAAAATGCATTCTTGTAATTATTTTCACCTAATTCTTGCTGAATTGTTTTGAGATACTCAATGTCGATTTTGAATAAATTTTATTCAACTTTTTATCATTGTCACTGAAAAATATTCAGTAACAGTTATTATCAAATTTTAGCAGTGTAGCTTCAGTTTTGCTTTTTCGATAAGTTTCAATCAATTTTAATTCAAGTAAGTTCTGCAGCACCAACGAACACATCTGTCGTCTGAACTCATTTTCACATAACAAATTAGCATCTACATCCGTCATCTACAATTTGCTTTCTTGTTCAGAACCTGTGAGAAATTCTGTGGAAATTCTGTGAAAGTTTTCACCCATTTTTTTCATAACTAACATTCATTAATTCTGAGAGCACAATTTTATGTTAGGTCTTTTTGAAAGAACGATCTTCAGTAATTCATTTACGTGTGTTCAAAGAAAGAAGATGACTGCGTCATTACTGTTCTAGTATATTATACTATTTGTGTTTCTGTAAATTTCAACAAAGTGACAAGAATGTTATGATGCCCCGTTGTATTAACATCACCGCCTCTTGCCACCGTATTTTGAAACCTCTTCAAGCTTTCGCCTGTATGTTATCAAAAATTCTCAACCATATCTAGATAGGCAAAAGTTATTACAAACTAGACTGATCTTTGAATGCTTACCGTGTGTGATTTTTGTTATTATTGCTTTACAGATACACAACCCGAAGGAGAGGCGTTGAAACCCGAGAGTGCAAAAAAGCTCACAAAATGGCAATTCATTCGTAAGTTTTCTACAAAACTATACAAATAGATGTTATTCCGCAGTCAGATAATATTATCAACTTTATTAATTTTAGGTAAACATAAACCCACGGTCCGTGGATTTTTCATCTCTTTCACTCTGCTGAACCTCGCAGTATTTCAAGGACTCATCATAGTACAAGTGTACGCCCAGGTTTTACTCCAGGACACGTTACCTAGTATCTCAGCTACTTGGACCACTATGGCTTTCGGTTTCGTTAATGTTATCTCAGCTGTGGTCGCAGCCTACCTGATCGATGTTTTCGGCAGACGAGTGAGTTATTTAAATCGATAATCTTCTTGTTGTCTCCAACTTTACAGAACTTGTTGTTTCCACATTAAATAAATTTGTTGAGGATGTTGTCTCGGTCGGTGAGATTCTATGTATATGTTATGAAAAAGATACAAGTATACATGAAGATAAGCATTACGGTACCAAATTACTTATACAAAATAAAATAAATTTTAAAATTATTGATAAAAATCAGTCTTTGACACTAGTTTGTTTCTCTGAATACTCAGGCAGATATCCAATATAATAAAATTAATATTTTTTTCATTATAACACTTAATTCCTATCAAATTATATATATGATCAAACTAATGAATATGCTTTCAGTTTTTAAAGGATGCTACATGATTCCCATGTTCTTCTACAATCAATCTTTTATATCCTTGCAGCCCGTCATGATCTATTCGTCGTTGTTCACGTGTGTGTTCTGTATCCTGCTCGGTTCTCATCTCCAACTCCTCTGGGCTCCCTCCTGGCTCGCCGCAGCACTCATCTTCCTCTACTGCGCGACCGTCACCTCCGGAGCGAACGTCGTGCCTTTCGTCGTTGTTGCTGAGATGTTTCTTCCAGAGGTCTGTTTTATTAGTCTTTCCATAGAGATGGTTCTTTAAGAATATTGGTTTATTCATCTCTAGGTATACATATTACTGTATGTTTCAGGTGCGCGGCGTAATGACGATGTTGATCATCGAGTCCGGATGGATTTTCAATTTTTTGATATTAGTCATCTTTAACCCTCTCCTGGCCGCGGTCGGAATGGGTCCCGTGTTTTATATATTTGCGCTGATAAGTTTATTGACTGTTATATTTACGTCCGTATATCTTCCTGAGACGAAGGGCCTGGATGTGCAGGACATACAAACACTACTTGAAAGAAAGCAAAGGAGATAGCACTTATCTCTCAGACAATTTCATCATTACTATAATTGAATATAAATTTTATACAAAAAACAACGTTCTCTCATTTTGTATAAAGAATATTAGACTTTAATTATATTAATATAATAATGTATATGGTGTTCACGCCGACACTCAAGCTAAGTAGTCAACCAACTACATAGTTAAGTAGCATTTTTTCGAATGAAACACAATATCCTGGGATTTGTATAATTTTTGTATCACATGTTTTATTAAAGTGTTCATTGAAGAATTTGGCAAAACATTGTTTTAATAATGTAAAACGTCTTTTCTATGACAACCCTTTGTAACAAAAATACATAAAAATGAAACTTTAACAAATTTAAAGACCTCTGTTCTGTTATGTTATGAGCGTGTTGAAAGCTGAGACCGACGACATGCAATCAAAAGTATTGTTTTAGAAAGTAAGCAAATATCGGAATTGGCTTATAAAAATACCTTTTTTTTATATTAACGTACTTTTATAATTATTATTAAAATGTAAAACATTAATTTCATTAACATTCCAATACACTACTGAATGCTAGAAATACAGATCGTAACAATTTCAACAGCCATCGTGTGCATCTCGAGTAAGACTTTCATATTTTTAATAATTCCATACTCAACCGTCTCATGTTGTTAATATTTATTGAAATACATAATATGTCATGAAGGTATCGGTACTCCAAGGGGTACAGTTCCTCCCAGATATTCATTCGATCTTCTTTTAAATTCTCGTGAAGGGACAGTTGGTGGTCTATTCGTAAGTATGTGCGTCGTCCGGGGCTGGCTGGTGGCCAGTGCAGGTCTGAGGAGTGGTTGGAGTCTCCGCGAGGGTTGGGGTCACTGGTGACGTCACACAGACAGTATTATACACTTGAACATTTATTTATATTGAACTTTTATGTTGGATGACATGACAACTAATTGTCGTTAAAACTGTAGTAAACGACTTCAGCTTATTGCTATATATGAAAAAATATGAAAAAAAAAAACAAATATAACTTTTGATCTAAGGTTTTCTGTTTTGTAGGATAATTATAACATTAGCAAAGGTTGCAAAACTATTTTTAAAAAATGTAATGACATCTTAGACTTTCGTGAATATTCATTGAAATAAAACTAATATTTTTCGGATTTACTACGCTTTATGATTATTTTTAACAGCATACTCCCGACGTTTCGATTACTTTGTAGAAACCGTGATTACGGCAAGATGATATAAAAATCTTAATAATTTTGAAATATCCCTTTAAGAATATATTTGTAATGTAGGAAAAGTAAATTAATGTAAGAACAGTAATATTTAAAGACATATAATAATAACTATGGTTATGGAAATGAGAATTTACTTATTTTCTTAACGAATTAATTCAAAAATATCTGTAAATAAATTTCAAATACTAAATTGAATTGTTTAGTTTATCTAATCACATATAAAGATATTATTAAATAGTTTTGAATAATTGACTAACTTCACCTTTTGTTCATAAAATAATGTCCTTACTTTAATATTTACCCGTATTTGGCAAAGTTGTACCACATGTCTGTGAGGCGGAGTGGAGGCGGCCGTGGCGGAGTCTGCACCTTCCGTACGATAACTCAGAGAGAACAGGTATATGAGGTCGTCATGATGAGCGGCCGCTGACAACACGACAACGTTTATAGATGTTATTTATTAAAACACTCATCACATATAGTGCGGGATAAACAGATTGACTCACCGATGGGTTTCTTAGTGAGCGGCTCCTCATAGTGACTGTGGTTGAAGACGAAACTGAACTCGTAGTACCAGACAGGCTGCGGCGAGTGACGCACCGTCAGGTTAAACATTCTACAACATTAGTTTTTTCATTTAAAATAGGAAACACTCAAAGTTAATTGTGATTTTTGACATATTATTACCAGTGCACTGGAAAACCTACGATCGCATCTGCATATAACAAACCTAAGTTTCGAGCACTCTCCTCATCGTTGGACTAATCTTTGTCTTTTAAATACTGGGTGCGAAGTCTTCTCGCTGCGTATTTTGCGTAAGTTTTGTTTTCTCTCGGAAGTAAATACGATATAATGTTTCATTTTTTAGAACGGCTGTAACAAATACAATGAAGAATCATCTGTGCGTCACAGGATTCAAATATCTCAAAGCGCGAGTACAAAATAAATGCCATCCAGAAGAACTCTCCCTCTGTCTGGCTCGCGATGTACGGGACAGCGTGGAACTTGTTTTCACGGGTATCATCCGTCGTCTGCATGTCTAACAAGCGTTCTTGACCGAAGTCTTTTTCAACGACAGGATAACAAATACGTACTGGATCTAAAGCAAATTCCTAGAAGTGAAATATTAAAATAAATTTTTAATTATAAAGGATATCAATAGTAAACGAAAAACTGAAATTAAAATGAGATTGTATTTCGTCATCGCCAATATAATATATTCACATAGAAACCAAGAACTGAAGTTCCAAGTTCTCTCCAGGGTTTAGTCTTCAAACAGTCAATAATAATTTTGGAGTTGTTAGTCGGACCGTCGAGGAGCTGAGCTTGTTTAACGGCGAGATGATATAGATCGCTCGATAGAGGAGACTTGCTGATCGGAGACCCGCTCATTGATATTGCACGGTGAAATAGACCTGGAGAAAGATTAATTTATATGTTCTTTCGTATAGGGAGAGAGTAAATATAAAAAATATATGTTCTAATACACCTTTAGACGTCGGCGACACTATATGAAGCAGTACACTGAGAGCCGGCGCTACAACCAGCGATGGTAACGCTGGTCGGGTCGCCCCCGAAGACGGCGATGTTTGTTCGGGGTCAGCGGGGCGCCACCACCTGGACCTTGAACCCGTTGTTACCTGGAGACAGGGCATCGCCGGTGCTCAGGAAACCTGCCAGATACACGTTACATATAATAAGATTTTTGCCGCAACTTCGTCCGCGTGGAATAGTGACTTCCGGCAGATTTTTAGTTCTTCCCACATAGTTCCCGTTCTTGGGGGGTTTTGGGAATTGTCTAGTTCCCCTAGAATTTTCAGGATAAAACCTGTTTTTTTTATTCATAATGAAGTACTCTTAACCAAAAACATACATATTTATTTGTTTATTTGAATAAAGATTAATATTATTATGCTGATACAACTTGAACAAATTATTTCGACCAAATTAGGTACCACAAAAACGGTTTTTGTGAGTTAATCTTAAAAGATAGACATATACTGTCGCGAACTGTTTTTTAGATCATTAAAAGAGCTATTATTCTTCAATACATATTTTTTGTGTATCTTGAACCGTTTTCACGGCGCACGCAACGGAAGGCTTCAAAGATGAAATATTTTCTCCCGTTTTTACACATTTACCACTATATCTTTGCTCCTATTAGTCGTAGCGTGATGTTATATAGCCCACAGCTTTCCTCGATAACTGGACTATCCAACACAAAAAGAATTATTCAATTCGAACTAGTAGTTTCGGAGATTAGCGCTTTCAAACAAATAAACAAACAAACTCTTCAGCTTTATATGTAATATTATAGTATAGATGGGCCAGCGACTCTGAATGTACCTACTAAGTAAAAAATTATACTCTGAATCATTTTTATGTGTTTATTTGTTTAAGAATGGCTGGCGAAATAGTCTGCTAGAAAATTTGAAGCGACTGAAAAAAAAGAAGTTGGTTGTTTAAGTACAGATAGATCATTGACATCTACATTAACACTTTTTATAATTTCTGTTTCACAGAGGATCTGGTGACATGTTATATGTAACGCTCCAAATACTAAAAGAAACAGTTTTTCTTTTGTTTGTATTAATATTGTAAGTACCAATGTTGATAGCTGTGGAATAAAATGAATACAAAATCAGAAACCGTTTGTTCATAATACGTAATAACTATATTAATATTCTTATTTTTACTATAAATTTGCAATGTTTTAAGAAGATTATTTCACATTAGGATTTCTCATTTGCAGCGTTTTCTAGATATTTTTTGAATAATTACATTCTGTAAAACTTGGATTATAAACTAAACTAATGTTATACGAATGTATTATGCTATTTTTATTTTTGATTATAAACTACATACTCTCGACGTTTCGGTTACTTTACAGCAACCGTGATCACAAGCTGACGAGATGTGTATTATACTTAATATATTAAAGTGTAATTTATTTTTTTTTTGTTTTTTTTTTTGTTTTAAGTTTAAAGTGTTTTAGTGTTTTTTTTTAGACACCACAATACCTACGACAAAGTCGGTGTATTTAAATGGTGTGAATCAAAATATTAACAAAAATTTAAAGATCATAAACAAACTTACAGTTTAATTTGCACTCGCACGGCGTTGTCGTTTTAAAACATTTTCAAAATGTCCACCGCCTTGTTCAATGCACTTTAATAACCGTTTTCGCAATTGTGGTTTTATTTTAGGTAATACTGCATTGTCACTTTTCACTTATACAAAGGCGGTTATTATTTTATTTCTTAGTTCCTTGATACTTGTTGTCCCTGTGTTATAAGCTAACGATTTAATTCGCCCCCACAAAAAAAAAGTCGAGTCGCGTCAAATCAGCTGATCTAGGAGGTCAATGGACACGTTCGTAGGTATTTGATGTGTGCCGGCTGTCGCTGTGCGTGCGTAGATATTTGTAAAATACTATTTTAGCCTTGAAACAAGTATCAGTTTTCTTTAATTGAATGATTATTACTTATTTAATATTTCATTTTAAAAATCTTAATACTTTGACTTACGAACCATTTTCGTTTCAATGAAGTGTTTAGATAACTCTGTGTAGGATGACTGTAATTTACTTAGTTCTATCTAAATTTGAGAAAAAAATTACCTACATAAAAAACTATAAAAATCGATCCAGATTCCGATTCTGAATCCAGATCCATGATCCAGATTCCGATCTATGGCATTCTTGAAGTCTTTGTTTAAAGATCGAAGCTTAAAGATCGCTCGCCTCGAGAGTCTCCGGGAGCTGTGTTCACGTTCGATGACTGACGCCGGGAGTCGGGACGAGGCTCGCCACAAAACGTACTTAGCTACCTACTATGCGACACTACTCTACTCGAGAGAACGACTGTGCGAGTTGTGAGCTGACGGAGGTGTTACATTCATATCAACACAGCCGACCAAGTTATATCACCTATAGACATAACATTTAAAAGTATGTCTACAGTTTATTGTTACTATTTTAACATGAGGTCGGAACCAATATTTTCCAATCCACTGCAACCCGTCCGTCTAAAACGCTCGTGTTAACCGCTCGTGTGAAACGCCGCGTGTCGGACGCTATAACCAATAATCGCTAAATGGTCATGTTATCCGCAGTGGCGACGTAAGGGGGGGCGGTGGGGGCGGTCCGCCCCGGGTGCCAAGCATCAAGGGGTGACAACATGGTGACAGAGAAATGACAACTTTGTCGGGCAGATAGTAGCCGCTAGCGCATCGCGGGGTGGAAGGGGCAACTTATTGCGGTCTCTCCCTCCACCACAGTTTAAGAGTGATAATTTTGACATTCATCTATGTCAGGCTCAAGGATATGATAACGCTGCCACCATGGCAGGAGTTCATGGTGGTGTACAGTCTATAATGAAGGAAAATAATTCTAAAACTTTGTTTATGCCTTGTGCTAATCATTCGCTTAATCTATGCAGGGTGCACTCTTACAGGTGTGTTAGTTCAAGTGTAACATTTTTCGGAACAGTATAAAGAGTTTACACATTCTTTTCGTCATCCACATATAGATGGCCCAAACAAGGGCGGCAACACATGTGCATATTTACGTTGCAGATGTCCATGGGCGACGGTAGGTAACTATCTACTATCAAGTAGGCCGTCTGCTCGGTTGCCCCTTTTCCCATAAAAAAAAGATGGGAAATTCTAATGAAAACTATAGGCGTATCAGTCAAAAGACTAGTAGAGACAAGATGGAGTGCTCATCACGATGCTGTTAGGTCACTGAATAATAATTTTGAAAAACTTGTATCAACACTCGAAGATGTGTGTGATCCCAGAAGCAGCAGAGAAAACGTCGATACAAGAAAAGCAGCATCCACACTCTTACCACCTAATTGTGTGACTTCAGTGTTTTATGTTACCTCTCTTTTTGCTATGAAATTCTAGAAGAAGTCAATCAGACACAAAAATATATCCAAACATCTGGGTTATCGTTGAAAAAGTGTGTTATAAAAATCAAAGCCCTAAAAATTTTTCTTGAAACTCAACATATCCAAATAGTGGAAAGAGCTATTTCCTACGGAACTGAAAAATGTAAGGACTTGGATATTTCTGTTGAACGAAGAGGAAGGGGGAGGTTTCGAAAACGAATGGCAGAAGAAATGTCCTAAGACGTTGGACTAACATTACCAGAGGAGTTGCATAGAGCTATGATAGATTGTCTTGATAGATTTTACGCAGAACTAGAGCATCGCTACAAAGCAATGGATGACATTCTCATAACATTTGGTGTTGTTCCGTCTGAAATTCTCCTTACATCAATAAAAGAAGAACTTCGTGATGCATATAACTCCAAATCTTACAAAAATCTATGATCAATTTTCTGCAGGGGACATTATTTTGGAGATTTTGCGACTCAAGCGCCTCTTGGAAGCCGCCAACATTTTTCTTCAAGAAGCGATCCAATGGACTACCCTGGAAATTCTGAAATTTATTGTAAAATGGGACTATTCTGAGTCTGTTTCAAATGTAACACTTAATGTCTAAGATTTTTTTAACTATTTGTGTTTTATCGGCTACTGGTGAAAGAAGATTCTCAAAATAAAATCTTACTTAAGATCTACCATTGTAGATTACCATTACCATACCATTGTACTTAAGATCTAACATTCTAGCCAAACACGACGTTACAGTCTATCCATATTGTCCATTGAAAAGGAGAGGAAAGTAAATTTTGATAATGTCATTGAGTATTTTAGCAAAATAGAGTCACGTAAACACGTTTTATTTTGAGGGTGCTCGATAGAAAGTCGCCCCGGGTGCAAACCTATGCTACGCCGCCACTGGTTATCCGCTTATCGACGCATTGTTCGATTCCGATACCTGTACTTGTGTTCTTGTGTACTTGCCTACCAGCTCTGTTTTAAACTCTTTTACAGTAAAGAGGTATACACATCAGTCAGAACTCAAAATCAATTATTAATTAGTAAGATTATTTAAAATAGTTTTAAAAATAGAACGAATACAAGAATTATTTAATATTGTTAAAATTATCTTTAACGTCTTAAAAAAAACATGTATCTGCCGCATATCACGTTACAAAGTACAAGGAGCATGAGGTGAGGTCTTCAAAACAGACAAACCCAATGGTGAAGTTGATTCGTACGAAAATATTTATTTACGAATTTGTAATGTAAAAAATTTTCAAACACACAGTACGGTCAAATAACAATAAAATAAATATCAGAGAAATATAATCGCAAACAGTGGGTTTTAATGGTTTAATTTGTGAATACAAGCGGAGTGTTGGTGAATAGCTGACCATATTATAATAAGTGAAGATAATCACACTCTACAGGTACAGCTGTTAGCTGGCTCATACGACAGATCACCTCGAGCGTTTGAAGAATATATGGTTCCGTGGCAGGGACAATGGACTCGCGATGTGTACTCTGATTTCTTTGATGGTGAGGCATTTCTCTTATTTTACCTGAAATTTTGACTAAATATTTTGACTAATATGGGTATATTGAGACTTAATCCTATTGTGCTTTTTATTTTAATTTAGTGTTATGACACGAATATCTAAATGTATTGCAGTTAAAGGGGAGGGACATGAGTTACTTGTTATGATGTGAGCACTTGTCTTGGAATGAATCAGACACTCTATATTAGAGGTTGAGGTCTCTGGGTC